ATTAGCAATGATTTCTATAGATCATATTCATTGAAAGCTTTTATTTAATTTTTAATTATATTAAGATATTTTTGAGAGATTAGTCTAGCACATTAAATTAGATCCCGGAGTCCAGCGCCGGATTAAATCCTCACCGTTCATGTTGTGGGCCCATTTCTTCAAGGGCATAGATTAGCTTATAAGATATGCCCTTCCAATATCGTAATTCAAATGATTGAGCATTTTTTGACATTCTTGATATTTAAAATTCAATTATCGTAAAATGTCTAAATATGTGTAAATTAAGATATACTCTCAGTTTGTAAATTATATACTCCATCTGTCCCAATACAATAGTCTTGTTTATCATTTTGATTTATCTCAGAATAATAGTTTTATTTCCATAAATAACTATATCACCACAAAATTATTCCTACTTTTTTATTTTTATTACACAATGCCACTATTTTTTACACTGATACACTCACAAGAACAAAAAAATATTTTATCCACTATTAATTTAATATCAATCCTTTTTAAATCATGTGCCCAACCCATTTAAAATTATATTCATGGGACAGAGGGAGTGTGACAGGATAAATTTATTCAGTAGTATATGCAGATAACACAATATATAACAATAATTGGATCACTACATAAAATATGTTAATACAATGTTGTGAAATATGTTTGTGTTAAAATTTTGAAATGCCCTAATGGAGGATTAAGGGAGCATGGGTTTTGGATCACATTTTAATTTTAGAGGTGTTGAATATTGTCCAAAGTTTGATTGATATTGAGATTACCTTATTTTATAAAGGTGAAAAATCACTTCATCTATTACTAAATAATTTTATGTTAGAAGCTTGAATCTCTTCGTAATATGGTATCATAATTGTATTTTGAAATATATTAAGGTATATTGGAGATTTATATTTTAATAATATATACTAAACATGTATATTACTCCTTCCGTCCCATGTAATATGGGTGTATTATTGTATACACGAGAATTTAGGTAAAGTATAATTAGTAAGTAATTAGGAAGTGTATTAGTAAAAAAAATTATAGATTAAGATTAAAATAACAAAATAGTTTAATTAAGATTAAAAAAATTAAATTTTAAATTTTAAAATATGATTAAAATGTATAATTAATTTTCCAAAAAATGAAAGGACAAATTATGTGGGACGGACGAAAATAGAAAATAGGGACAAATTATGTGGGATGGATGCAATATTAATGTAGGACGTGAAATTCTATTTAATGATGATTAATGGGAATATATAATCAAATGCATATATATCAATATAAAACATATATATATATATATATATGTTATATTTAAAAATGTTAATTATACTAATTAATCAACTTATTATTAATTTATAATTATTTTTATTATTTTTACTAGTATAATTTTAATTATTTATTAATCATATATCTCTTAAATTTTCGCATTTACAATAACTGTGACATGATATTTTTTTATTTTATATGTGTATTGTATTAATATACATTGTATGATATAATCAGTTACTCTCTCCGTTCCATAACAAAATATCTATTTTTCCATTTTAATTCGTCTCATAACAAAGTATCTATTTTTTTTTTTTTTTAGTAATTGTACTATCTAACTAACCTTACAAATACACTTACAACTTACAATATATTACACAAATATCATTACATTAATATCACACATACTACTCCCTCCGTCCCACATAATTTGTCCCTATTTTCTATTTTCGTCCGTCCCACATCACTTGTCATTTCTATTTTTAGAAATATAATTATGCACTTTAATCGCATTTTAAATTTTATAATTTTTTTAATTTTAATTAAACTATTTACTTATTTTAATCTTAATCTATAATTATTTTTACTAAATAATAATTATTTTTACTAATACACTTCTTAATTACTTACTAATTATATTTTTTTACCTAAATTCTCGTGTCTACGGTAATACACCCATATTACATGGGACGGAGGGAGTAATAAAGTTATTTTAGTCATTTCTACTTTATTCCTATTGCATCTCAATATAATACTAATATTTATAAAATTACGTGTAAAAAACAAATAGATATCTAGTTATGGGACGGAGATAGTATAATATTTGTTGTATGACTATTATTCTACTCCATATGAGTCATATATCTTGCAATATTTTTTTATTTTGATTTGTCTCACATATTCTACAAAAATTTTAAATTCTAAAATAATTAATATATTTTATTTTATCATACCACTCAAGTAAACAAAAATAAATATATATCCCTTCTTTTTATTACATCACCTAATTTTTATTTTATTATACCTAACCTTGTGGTATCGGAATCAAAATATTACTTCTTATATAAAACAGGAGTTTATTTTATATACATTTATATAAATATATAATTTGTGATATTAATTTCTAGTAATACTTCATGTGCCGGCTGATACATACTCTCTTCGTTTTAATCTAAGGGTTTCATTTACTTTTTGTGTTATTATATTTAATATTCAAAATATTTTTATGATTGTATAATTTTTTGCACAAATGTTATTATAATAGTATTGTAAGACACTAATAAAAATATTTTTGTCATATTTCTTTAATTTGTAATACGTTTTTATATAATAATTAATATTCAAATATCAACACGTAAAAAGTAAATGAACCCTTATAAATTTTCGAAGATTTTTTAAAAAGGCATCCAAACACAACTTAAATGTTTCAAAACGTATATTCCATTTTAATCGATTGCTTTATTTTATTATATATATTGAGTTTTCAATTAAGGTTGAGTGACGATATGAGTGTTGTTAGAATAGAAAATGAAAGTCAAAGAGAAAAGGTATGGCACGTGTCCAAGGAGCACCGATACAACATTAATTAATTTAATAATTATATAGAAAAAAAAATAAAAAATTAAAGGCAACGCCACACAATTTTTTTATAAACCAAAATTACCGATTTGAAGGGTGTGTTTGATTTGTGTTTTATTTTGTGTTATTTAAATAAATCATTAAATATAAAATTTTATAAAAACAATATATTTTTATAAAGAATAAAAAAAATTATATAATAAGTATAAGTAAATTAAAAAATAGAAGCAAATCACTGGAAAAATCTTGCAAGATAGTGTTTAAAATATAAATGTGAAGCCGTTAAATTTATTCCAAATTGGGTGCATTTGGTTTTTATTTAAAATAAAAAATATCATTATATATTAGCTTTATATAATACTCCCTCCGTCTCAAATACTATGTCCACGTTGCTGTTTCTGTCCGTCCCACATAGCATGTCACTTTCCTTTTTTGGAAAATGATTACACACTTTAATCTCATTTTAAATTTTTTAATTTTATTTTTTTAAATTTTAATTAAACTAATTAGTTATCTTAATCTTAATTTATTACTATTTATATTATAAGACAATTATTTTAACTAATATATTCTTAATTATCTAGTAATTACATCCCTCCTAAAATAGCAGACACGGTATTTGGGACGGAGCGAATATGACTATTTAAATTAAAATAAAAATAAAAATCAAGCGAGCGGCAAATCCTTGTTAGATGATTAATTTACCATGCCGTGTACTTTTTAATTTTTATTTTTTTAGTATTTATTTCCTCTCCACCGCATCAACCGTTTATTAATATAAAAGATTATATTCAATTATTATTATTATTATTAAAATAGATAAAAAAAAAAAAAAAACACCACAATATGTTTAGAAATATTTTGAAAGTGTTTTAATATTTTAATTTATTTTAGAAACAATAAAAAATATTTATAATATAATATAAATAAATATTCAATATAATATTTTTAATTTACTAAAGCCTTATTCCTCTAAAAAATATATTTTGTTATTTAAAACTTCACAACAAAATAATATATTTTTTTATTTAGTAAGTGTGAAGTCAATGACTTATTAGTAATATATTATTATTTAATATAAAATTATCAAAATATTATTTTCAATACAAATTATTTATTACATGTAGGTCTCTAAAAATTCAATGCTATTTGAACATCTACACGCTTATATATCTATAGATAAGTGCGAATGAATATTTTCGAATAATATTTTAAAAGGAATATTACAGATATATATATAATAAATTTTTAATAGAATTTCAAAAATGTAAAATATTATATTATAAATAATATAAAAATAAAAAATAAAATTTAATATTTCCTCAGTCCAGACTGGTTATGTCATTTTACTTAAATACGAAAACTAAAAAATAAGAATTTTTTAATAAAAAAAAAGATAAACAAATAGTAAAATTATTATCTGTTAAAATAAAATTAATAAAATTATTTATTATCATAAATAAATTTATATAAAAAAATTTAGTTTTTTAAAAAAAAAAACTGATATAATTATAAGCGATCGAAAGTACATAAAAATAATAATAATAATAATAATAAAGAGAACTCTCAGGACGTAACCTGGCTGGGTTATTTAATGCAACCAAGAAAACGAGGTTGACTCATTTTCCCACATAGAGTCTCGAGACATAGGAATTAAAGGGCAGTTTCAACTCGTTTAATGAATTTCGAAATTAGTACTGTATTATTTTTTTATATAAAAATAAACTAATTATTTATTTATTTTTTTAAAATATCATAATTATTTCATTTAACTAAAATAAAAATGTATATACAGCATGAGACAGTTGTTAAAAGTTAATAAGGCTTGTTTGTTGGTGATTCTAAATTAAAATAGATGTAATATAATTTATTACTCCATTTCTTTCTTAAAATGTTAAAATAGAATACATATATTCTTATTACATATATAAGAATAAGTTTATACAAAATATGAAATATGAGATTACAAATTAATTTATTTCAAAAAAAAATAAAACTTTTCGATTATTGTCAAAGCTTCCCAAACCCCATTTAGACAAAGCCCTAAATCTAATCGTCTCTCCACTCATCCCACCCCACCCCAACCCACCTCTATATATACGAATCATTTGCCACTCATTTCTCCTCCCTCTCTCTCATGCATATATAAACACTCCCTCTCTCTCTCTCTCTAGATATATATATACATATATATATATATCACTCTTCTTCTTCTTCCTTGTCTCCCACACTACACAAGAGAAGAGAAAGAGAAGCCAAGAGAGAGAGAGACAAATAGAGGCTATCACATAATAAAGGTTTATATATATATACATATATATCGAGATCAAGATCAAGATCGAGATAGTTGGATTGATGGGAAAGATATGGGACGTGGTTCAGGGACTGAAGCCGGCGATGATGATGGTGACGGTGCAGATAGGACTGGCCGGCGTCAACATTTTCTACAAGCTCGCCGGAAACACCGGCATCAGTATTCCCGTTCTCATCGCCTACCGATTCTTGTTCGCCGCTGCCTTCGTCATCCCTCTTGCCCTCCTCCTCGATTCCAAGTAACTCTCTCTCTCTCTCAAAATTTAATTATTTATTTCACATTTATTATCGCCTCATCCCTCTTATTTTCCAAAATTGCATGTTTCAAGAAACAACTATTCTTTGAGTATAAAAAGAAAAAAAAAAAACGAAAAAAAAAAAAAAATTTATACAGTTTTGCAATTAATCCATAATTTCCTAAAAATATATATTTTCTTGAGTGGTCGAGTTTGAATAGGGGCACTATATATTTAAAATAAAAAAATCGAAAACAATATTTTGTTTGATATGTTGTTTTGGGAATTGTATAGTAAAGAAAAAGGGTACTTTCAATTCCATTACACATATGCGTATGAATTTCGACATAATGTTAGTTAACGTATATATGTATCATGTATGTAATGTATCCGATAGATCTGATTCAATAATACTAATAATAATAATAATAATAATATTATTATTATGTATATATATATATATATATATGCAGGAAAAAGAAACCGAAACTGACATGGAACGTTGTCTTGCTAGCCTTCATTTGTGGTTTGTTTGGGTAAGTAACGGTATTGATGATAACACTTACTTATTTTAATTTTTAATTATATATATGTACAAAACTTATTTTGGTTTTTCTCTTTTTCATAGAAAAACTAAACGTGCGGTTGAGTTACTTACACAAGGATTATGAATTATGCTTTTTGGTAATCCATTTTCTAATGTTCTATTTGATATTTACACGAATTTTTAGGCAATTAGAATTTTTATTATAAAATGATAAATTTGTCCTTAATTTTGTGTATAGAAAATGAAAGAGTAAGTAAAGTAAGGGTAAAAAAAGTAAATTTTGTGTATAAAAATATAAAAAAGACAATAATTATTGGATATTTCAAATAGGAAAGTAGGATGCTAGCTTGTTGTGGACGGATGGAGTATGATTTTATGTACTTAGCAGTATAGTTTTTAATTAGGCTTTTGTGACAACAATTAGAATGATGAAATGAAATGACAGAATTATTATTATTATTATATTGTAATAAGATGATATTAAAAATTGTAATGATGATGGTGCAGAGGATCGATGGCCCAAAATATGTATGCAAAAGCATTAGTCCTAACCTCAGCAACCTTCGCAGCAGCCATGACTAACATCATTCCTGCTGTCACTTTCATCCTCGCAATACTTTTTAGGTATGAATCATATCAACAATCAATAAATATATATATATGTATAATTATTTATTTTAATTAATAATTATAATATATGTAATTAAGTGCAGAATGGAAGGGTTAGGACTAAAGACATGGGCAGGGAAAGCAAAGATAATGGGGACATGCCTGTGCATTGGAGGGGCCATGGTTTTGACTTTTTACAAGGGGTTCGAGGTCAAGGTCTGGTCAACGAACTTTGACTTGTTGAATAAAAGTCAACATCCAGGTGGGCCGCCGCAGAAGCCGCCGAATGGTAAAAACAACATTATAGGGTTTTTTCTTGCAATGGGCTGCTGCTTCTCTTCTTCCTTTGCTTTGATCTGTCAGGTTCAATTCGACTCCCCTTTGACCCCCCCAAGCGTTGACCCTTCTTCTTTTTTTTTTAATATTCTTAATTAATTATTTATTTTTTTTATTTATATAGAGTAAGATGGGAAAAGTATATCCTTACCATTATTCAAGCACTGCAATAATATCGTTGATGGGAGCAGTTCAAGCCTCTGTATATGGAGTTTGTGTAGAAAGGGATTGGAGCCAATGGAGAATTGGTTGGAACGTCAAGCTTCTTGCTGCTGCCTATATGGTATTTTCTATCTCATCTCTTCTTTTTTTTTTTTTTTAAAAAAGTGATAAAATAAGTGAAGCGAATATAAATAAAAAGATAAATATAATAAGTTGAACAAGAAAGTATAATATGATATGATATGATATGATCGATTAATTATAACTCCTTCTGTCTAAGAAAAATATGTTCACTTCGCTCGTAATTTTCAAAGAAATTGAACACACTTTTGATAAACAAGAGGGGATCACAATTTTTTTTTTTTTTTTTTTTTGTAGTTTGAAAAGATTGTACTATTTTCATTAATATTTTAGAGATCGTATTAAAAAATTTCGTAATTTTGAAAATACTGCATAAAAATCCATTAAATAAGGAATTATATGCAATATTTGCAAACATAAAATGGAGTCTTCTACATGATTCTTTATAATTTATTTTAAGATACCAAAGTACTTCATGTAATCTCTAATATTATGAAGAAATAGGGTGCAAATAAGTTATAAGCAATTTCGCTTTGTACAAACTAAAGATTCTTGTCGATCTATTAATTAATTGTTTGATTAATTTGTATATTGCTTCTTGATCGAATCAAATATATACAAAAAATGGTAGGGAATTGTGGCGTCCGGTGTACTGTGGGCTTTCATGATGTTGTGCGTGAGGATGAAAGGACCGTTGTTCGTATCCGTCTTCAACCCTTTGATGCTCGTCCTCGTTGCACTCTTCAGCTCTTTATTCCTCAATGAGAAGTTATATTTGGGAAGGTACACATACCATTCATACCATTCATACATTCATTCGTTCGTAATATACTAAGATTATGCTTAGAATACAAAAAATTTTTCTAGTAAATAAGGATCATCTATCATTTGGTATTTTAAATAGATTATCTCTCACGAAAATTATTATTATTACTATTATTTATTTACTCTTTCAGTCGTAAAAAGAGTTTCATTTTTTATTTTTTTCTGTCCAAAACAATGGTATCATTTTCTAATTCAGTAATTATACTACCTATTTAACATAATAAATATCATTCAAACTTATAATATATTACACAAATGTTACCACATTTATATTATACAATACTAATAAAGATATTTTCGTCTCTTTTACTACAACTCAATATAATACCAATATTAAAAAATTTATTTGCAAAAAATAAATGTTACTCTTTATATGGGACGAGGGGGTTAATTTGTTTATGTTAGTGTAATATTGATGTTGATATTGATGTTGTTGAGTGGATGATGAATGCAGCTTTTTGGGAGCAGTGATAATAATTTGTGGACTATATTCAGTTCTATGGGGAAAGGGCAAAGAAATGAGAAAGATTAACAAATTAGTCCCATCAAATTCTACCAAGAAATCATCATCAGCTCATCACCAAAACAACAATAATGTTCTTGATCATCCTCACATTAATAAACCTCATGAAGTTGTTGGAGATGATCAAAGCTTCAAGGGCTTTAATGGTGAATCCACAAATTATTCGGTTTTGGCGCTTGCTCCGAGCTTTTTACCCGAACCCACACCTGAACTATTCGAAATATTTGATGGCGGCGGCGGCGGCGACGACGACGAAGAAGAAGGAAAAGATGTTGAAAAACAGATACCCAAGTCCAACCCTCAAGCCAAGAATTAGATGGATCTATTACATTCTTTTCTTTTTTATTATTTTTTTTTTTGAAAAAAATAAAATAAATTGGAAAACTATCATAGCTAGCATGTATAGTTCTTATATGCATGTGAACATATTCTGAAACCATATATTGGAGCATAACAACTCATGTACTATGTTGAGGCTTGTGGGTGAATTATATCTATATGTAATATCTATTGAGAGACATGTTTTCTTGGATTATTTATTTTATTTATAAAACAATATAATATAAATTTTATATTTTCTCCGTCCGTTTTAGTTGATATGTTTTTTTATTTTAGTATGTCTCATAATAGTTTATGCGTTTTAATTTTTAATAAATTTATAAATATTAAATATGCTTAGTAAATATAAATCAACTTAATTAAATTTTTAATATTTTATTACCAACTCAAAACCCCTCTCTTCAATTTCACTTAATTTTTTTTTTTATTTCTTCTCAATAAACAAATATTTTTTATCTATATTTATTATTCTCTATTTTTTTTAAAAAAATAATTTATGTTAATCATAGATAAATAAAAATATTTTTTATTTAATTGTATTATATAAAATTTAATTGTCTACAAAATTATATTCATATTATATATTTTATTGAGATATATAGTATTTAAAATATTCATACATATATTTTATTTTTTTAATCTTATATATATTAATTTTTATTTTAAAAATACAAAACCAATAACATAAACTATTATCATTAATTTACTAAATTATATTTTTTAAAATACCGCACACTAACCAAACACGTGAAGTTAAGTGTGCCGGGACAAAGGGAATGAAGTATAATGGAATAGACTTGTCTGTCGAGCCTAGTTTGCAGGATATTAGGTTCGGTCGGGAATTTACCCAATGCACACTTTCGGTAGCTGCTGCGGGTTTCTACCTCATAAAAAAATAATAATAAAAAAATAAAAAAATAATGATATCGCATAAATGTTGGTGCAAAAAATAGTCCATTAGAATCGGTTGTTTATGGGCTTTTAATGTATACGACCAAGGGCCCAATTAAAAAGCCTAAAGTTCGTATGCTTGTATAGATTTTGGGTTCGTCTATGTTGTCCATTATGTATGTTTTAGCTTTATGTGACTTGAAGGCACATTACTCAAATGTACAAAGCATATATATATATATATACATCAGTTAAATCTTATACTACTTATGTTTCACATATTTTATAATATTTTTTATTTTTTTGTTTGTTCTGCATATTCTATAATATTTTTAAAATAAAAAATAATTAATTATACTTTATCACAGCACACCACTCAAATGAATATATATATATACATAGTTCTCTCGTTATATTACATAATTCTCAAATTTAAAATTATCACACAAATAATCTTAATTTATCTTTCGATGTCAGCTATTCTATTTTAAAAATTTACAAAATCAGACGTATTTTACACGTATAAATATATAATTGACACATTTATAGATTATGTTTACATATGTATAGCAGTAACTATATCTTCATAGACATAATAAAACAAATTATCACATAGTAAACTTACTATTAATTGTTGATTAATTTTAAGAACATTTGTATCTTTTTACAAAATATTTGAATGTAATTAATTATTTTTTTAATATTATTTTAACAATTTATACAAACCGTGCAACGCACGGGTGCCAATACTAGTTCTACTTAATCTTACTCATCTAAATTGTTTAAAATCAAATATTACATCATATGTGGACGGGGTATTAAATTATTGAAAATATAATAAAAATAATTTTCATTAAAAATATGATATATATATATATACACGATGCTCTATAAATCTTATGAACGATATATTTAACTTTTACATGTCACATATAGTTCGTCTAGTATGCTTTGTTTTATCCAAATGAATAGATATGATTCTAATTTTGTGCATATGAATAGTGTACAATGCATAGACCACAAGTGCAATAAGAAATAAGATATATAGGCATATTGCATATAAGATCTGATTAAAATATCAAAATGATAAATGATTTTTTTTACTGGACAAAAATTTTCGGTATTCTAAACATACTTTTAGTATATTAAGAACGAATGTATGTATAAATGACAAGTGTACCTTTCCAAGTATAACTTCTCATTGAGAAACAAAGAGCGCAACGAGCACGAGCATTAAAGGATTGAAGACGGACGCAAACAACGGCCCTCTCATCATCACGCAAAACGTCATGAAAGCCCACAACACACCGAACACCACAATTCCTTACTATTTTTTGTATTCATTTGATTAGATCAAGAAGCAACATACAAAGTAAACAAACAATTAATCAAGAGGTCGAGTCGATAACCCTCTTTAGTTTGTACAAAGCAAAATTGTTTATAATCAAATATTAAAAATAGTGTTTTACTTAAAAGTCATACAATGCATAATAACTTTTAAGTAAAACATCGTTTTTGATATTATATAGGTTGTGCATATTTATCAAAAATCTATATCATCTTGTAATCAATATAAATTTGGGAAAATAACTAAGTAATATTGGTTTGTTTGTTTAGCAAAATAGTTTGAAATGATGTTTTTTAATGTAAAATATAGAAAATTGTGTAAGTAATATAAAAATAATAAATGTGTATAATATATTAATTTTTGGGAGGGAGAAATGTATTTTTGGAAAAATATATTTTCATAAAAACGAATACACCCTAATATTTTTGTTTTAGATAGATTTTTATTTTTAAATATAATACTTAATGTTATTATTTTTTTAATTAACATGTCATTAAATAATTTTCTTTCAATTCCTAAACCACCGCCTATTAATATCAATTATTAAAATTTTAGATCCATCGATTTGTACACACGCACCCACCCAGGATCGAACCTAGGACCCAACCCTCAAGCGATGGATGTCTCACCACTTAATCCTGCAAGAAGTCGGCAAGATACCAACAACCCCATCATCGCGCAATCCATCATAATTTTTTCTTAATATTGGTACAATCTTTAAAAATAACTAGTATTTTTTTTTAAAAAAATTATCTTATAAGTAATAGTACATATTATATTCTTATTTATAAAATTTCTAACACTACAGAAATATGATACATTTATTATATGGAATCCATTCGCAAAACTGTAATAATAATAATAATAATAATAATAATAATAATAATAATTGCAAAATGGCATGCATTTATAAAATCCTACATGCATTTAACCTGAAATCATTTCATATTTTCAAACAACTTGGGCGAGTTTTCATTACTAAATCATTACAATATCGGCAATCTATAAAACCATTTTCAAATAAATTGAAAATTAAATGATATAATAGTAATCTCACTTAGACGCTCAAACAAACTATCTTTTGTAAATTTCTCTTCTACATTTAACAATTCAGTATTTTTGTTCAATTACAAAAATATTTATTATATTTTCACATGGTTACATATGATCACTTTCTCTAGAGCAACTACAATGGTTGTTTCAAAACAAACCATAAGATATATTTAAAATACGATGGCAACTGCAATAGTTGTTTCAAAACAAATCATCATAAGATATATTTAAAATATGATGTGTCAAGAGTTTTCAAATTAAAATCATCAAAATTTTTAAAATGAATTATGATTTTCTTATCATCAGTTAAAGAAATAGAACAAATAAACAAAAATGAAAAAAAAAAAGAAAGAGAAAAGGGGGAAAAGAAAGAAGAAATGAAAGGAGGAGAAAGAAAGAAAGAAGAGGAAGATAAAGAGAGAAAAAAGACAAAGAAAATGAAGAGAGATAATGTGAGATGTGAAAAGAAAAAAAGAATTATCATGGGTTGAAGAAAGAGTAGAAATACAGACAAAAATGAAAGAAAAAAAGAAAAAGAAAAAGGAAAAAAATAAAAAAGAGAAAGAAAATAAGGTAAATGAAAGAGAAAGATAGAAGAATAAAAAGGAAAAGAAAGAGAAAATGAAGAAAGATAATTAAGATAGGAAGAGAGAAGAAAAAAATGAAAGAGAATTGACAAAAAAGAAAAGAAAAAGAAAGAAAGATAATGTGAGGTGGGAAGAGAAAAAAAAAAAAGAATAGAACAGAAAGAGAGAATAAGGAAAAATAAAAGGAAGAGAGAGAATGTAAGATGAGAAGGGAGAGAAAAAAAAGAAAAGAAAAAAAAAGAGAGAAAGAAGCAGAAAAATGAGAAAAAAATAATTTGAGATGAAAAGGAAGAAAAAAAAGAGACAAAAAGAAAGAGAAAAATGAGAAAAAATAATCTAAGATGAGAAGGAAGAAAAAGAGACCATAAGGAAAAGAAAAAAGAAGCGAGAAATAAAAAATAAAAATAAAAAAAAAAAAAGAGAGAAAGAAAGGAAAAGGAAGAGAAAGATAGAAGAAGGGAAAGAAATGATAAAACGTGAAATGAAAAGGAAAAGGAAAAAAAATAAAAATAAAAATAAAAGAAAAAATGTAGGTATATATAATTTATTATATATTCAAAACTTTACATGCATTTCAAACTATTTTTAAAACATACATAGAGATAGCCCAATAGAATTTATTACTGTTGGGTTTGCTAGTACCTAAGCCCAGACTTCTACAGTAAAAATTAAACGAGATAAAATTGGACACTACGATACAACACAAGGTCATTTACTGCCATATAAATATATAATTAAACTTGGGCAAGATCATAGTAGAAAAAAACAAAGGTGTATATTTACAGAGCAAATAAAGAGCAGTTTTACAATTACATACACAATCACTTATATATTAATTTTGCCTAGACATAATGCAGTTAGGTTTATTGTATCACTAAATACCAATATAAAAAAAAAAAAAAAAAAAAAAAAAAACCAACAAACAATTGAGAGATATATATTCAATCCGTAGTAAAGCATCATAATCATAATCTACCGAGAGAGAGAGAGAGAGAGAGAGAGAGAGAGAGAGAGAGAGAGAGCCTAACCTGTGCAAATTACAATTACACATTGAAGCAGAGAGAGAGAGAGAGATTATGCTGTGATTCACCAAATTAAAGCTTACCTAACTGGAATCATCATCATCAAGATCATCACCATGTTTGGCCTGTACAAATTAACACCCAAACCCCACTATTCTTTTCTGTCTGTTTGTCTGTGATCAATCAAATTCAATACATCCTCCTATATATATATATAGAGAGAGAGAGAGAGAAAGAGAGAGAGAGAGAGAGGACAATGTCTATTCCATGGCCAGGCCAACAATCTGCTCCCTAAATGTTTATTCTAAGAGCCCAGAGAGAGAGCCTACCATTCCATGGACCAAGATCTTCCCAGACGTTTCCGGGGCCTTTGCTTCTCGACAATTGGGATAATTCTCTTCATGAGCTGCACCAAAAAACTGACATCTTTAAGCGAAATTTCTGAAACTCCTAAGGCGAGGAATGATACAAGCATCATTTAAAGCACAATGTTATTACAAACATTTCGAAAACCAGGGGGTCCTGTGAAAAGAAACCGCGATTATGAGAACATGAAAACCTTACACTCTACTCTTTTATAAAACCGAGAGTAAGTTATGGGGTAACAGTCTTGCCACGACTTAAGAGTTTAAAAGATGGTGAAACCAATAGCTCGAATGTTGTTCTACATTATTCGCCATATATTTTGTAGCAAGAATATCTTCGAACATTCCAAAATTCCAAAAGTATGAAATTGTAGTGATCACATATTCCAAATGAACACCTAATGCAGCTAACAATAAACCGTTACGCATAGGCCAAAAGACGTCATATTTCCAAGAAAGACAATCTCGACCAACTGCATTCATGATTCATCTAAAATGACTAGAACCTAACTTACCTAGAATTCACAAAGACAGTACACAGACAGATCCGTGGCAAAAACTTATTGACGACTTTTGCTTCTACTTTTATTCTGTTTATTCATGTTTCCGTACATTGCAAGAACAACCCAATACATTATAAGCTACGAACAAATAAGTAATAGCTAACGGCTACTCTAGTTAGTTTGGGAGTTAAGAATAGCAAAGAAGTGAAAAAATATGTTGGATAGGAAACGACAAAATAAATATAACGAAAAAATACAACTTTCGGTTGACAGTCTCGCAGGAAGTTAATTGAGTAGAAGACGACAGAAGAATATTTCCAAAATATTCGTCGTACATCTCATCGTAAACTCCCAAACCATGCAAAAATTATGGATGTGTTTGTGTTTTACAGATGAAATATATTATATCAAAATTTTTATTTTCCATTAAAAATTTCAAATCTAAAACACACCATGTAATCATCCTTCCATCATTTGGGAGCTCATGAAGAGTAGGAAAAGAAAAGATTTGAAACATTTCATCCATTGATGGTCTGAGAGTCGTATCGATCTTCCCTCCAAAACCGACCCCATCTTATTTTCTTATACTTTCTTTTCTATTCCAAACCCCAAAGTAATAAACTTAACAATCTTTTTTCCGAAATCGACTTAAATTTGGCAAAAACTTCGTCAAAACAACCAAATGCTAGAACACGAGGCTTTACATATAAAAAGACACAAACTAGCTACTAGGCGCTATTTGATCTAATGATCCAAGCCTTCACAACAACTAGTAGCAAAAGCACAACGATTTACGGATAAAACATGCATTAGATCGAAGAACAGCAGGGACCATACCTGTTCACGCCTCTCCTTCTTCAGTTCGGCCTGCGCATAAAGTGTTATATTTGTAAGTTTTACTTCAGAAGTATGATGGAAAAACAAAGAAGCTAAATGCAACAGCTACAATCTTAAATCTCACAGTAAGAAATGGCAATGGTCGAAAAGAATTCACATGATAAATCTCAGTACCTCTTCCTTTGCTAGCCTGGCGTTCTCCTCTTCCAACTGTGTCACCAATGTCTCCAGCTCCACAGTATAAGCCTTTGCTCGAAAGCAATGGAAGATTAAGAATAGCAGAAAACGGAATTGAGCTGAATTCAATTAGGTAAAGACGATGATGAAGAAGAAGAAGAAGAACCTGCTTGCGCTCACGAGACCTTGCGGCAGACTCTCTGTTCTTAATCATCCGTCTCTGCTTCTGCTGCGACGCCTTGTCGAGCGGCGCGTCCTCCACGGTCACCGTCGGTCTCCTCTTCACCCTCACCGGCGCGCTGTTGCTCCCACTCGCAGCCGCGGCTAATCCGTTCCGAAATTCGACGCCGTACCCATTCTGCACGCGGATCGCCGGCGCAAACGGCACCGGCGTCGGATTCATCATCACTGTCTCCATTCCGAAAGCGCCGGACGTCGGCGGCGGAGGAGGAGGCGGAGGCATCGCGACCACCGCCGGAACCCTAACATCCTCCTCGGTAACCGCCCCGGCCTTAGCCAAAAAATCCTCCAACGTCATCGCCGGCTCCGCAGCCCCTCCGCCGGACCCGACGCTCACGATATCCCTCCATACCTCGTCCGCCGCTCCGTTTCTGGTTCTCAACCCTTCCCCTCCGACTTCAGGTCCGGACGATCTTGACCTTCCTCCATTTCCGCCTCCTCCGCCGGCTTCTTCGGCGCCTGCACCGTTGCTGTCCAAGGCAAAGGAGTCGGAATCGGGGTAAATGTTCCTGAACAGATCGTCCATGTTCATCGAACCCAAACCCCGAGTGCGATGATCACTATGGAGATTTATCGCGGAAGGTGAGGGCTGGTGATGATGTGGGCGATCCGTATTGGGCGGTGACCTGGACGCCATAACCTTCGACGACGCCATCCGCGCCACAACTACCTGCAGCCCCCCCGATTCTCCCGCTTTCGACTAATAATCCCTTCCAAATCGACAAAATTGATGAAACTGCTATCGTAATTGCAGGGAAAAAAACAAAATTCGAAACTGGTGATGGTTTCGTTTCAATTCCCGAATTCAGTGTACAGAAACAGCTGCAGACTAATACGCAGATCGATTACGAACTGAACTGAACTGAACGCTCTGCTCTGCCGATGCGCTGACGGACAAAAAGAAAGACTGCAAAAACAAATCGGCTCAACTGCACTGCCCAAATGTATAAATATATACACATATACACTATATTTGTTTGAAGAGAGATATAATTAACAAATAATTAAAAATTTATTAGTAAAAATAATTATTTTATAATATAAATAATTATAAATTAATATTGTCATAATTAATTAATTTAATTAAAATTTAAAAAATTTAAAATGAGATTAAAATGTGTAATTATTTAAAAAAATAAAATATGGGACAGATAGAAATAGCATCGATATGGTATATAAGACGGAGAATATTTATTTAATTTTATTTTTTAAGAAAATATCAAATTAAACAATTATTTTTTATTTTTATGAACGTCTATTTATATTATATTATTACAATTATTTTAATTTAAAATTTTTATTATTTAAATTTTAATTAAAAATTTAAACTCCAAAATCCATAAAATAGAAAGAAAAATATATATATATATATATATATATATAATAAAGTAACGTAACCGTAACCGTTACCGTGTGAGAGTTCAAGTTAAAAGTTATCTATCCAACCATAGATTTCTCATTTTCCGTGACCAGGGGTATTCTTGTCATTGTAATTATTTATATATTGTGAATAATAAAATAGATTGCCATTTCATACCAATATGTCAGAGGCTATTTATAAATGTGTTCAGCCGTTTTGAAGTTGACCTTTTTTTTATTTTATTTTTTTCATATTTTAATTTTTAGGTATACATAAAACCAGAAGCCGGCGAGGCGACGGCTTTTGCTATTCATATGTGGTATTTCTTTTTGTGTTATTTTATCAAATTTTTCTAGATTTTTTAAATTTTTACTAAAATAAATTTAAAATTAAATTAAATATTTATTTTTTATTATATTAAAATTGATTTTGAATGGGTTGAATTTGAAAAAAAAAAAAATAGTTTGAGTTTGATATGAAAATAATGTTTGATAGAATGTTTCGTGAGAAAAAAATATATATTTTTTTTGGAAAACGCAGAATTCAAATAGTAAAATTTAAAAAAACTACGGTAAAGAAACAGACTTTTATATTCAAAATATTACATTTATGTTGTATCATACAACTATTCTTCCAAATTCCAAACAAACATATCTTTCGAATGTATATACTCCCTCCGTCCCATAACTTTGTATCCATTTGCTAGTAGAAATAAAATATAAATGACTAAAATAACCTTGTTGAGTGATATAAAGATAATGATATTTGTGTAATATATTTTAAGTTGTAAGAATATTTGTAATGTTAGATAGATAGTAAAATTAATAAAAAGATATATTTTTTATGACAACAAAAAATAAAAATAAGTATAGATTTAAATGATAGAAAAAATACTATATTTTTTATTAAAATATAAAATAGTTTAATCAAAAATTAATTTTACCACATATTATATTACCATCAAATAGAATAGCTAAGAAATTAATATAATCTTATATAGTTTCAATTAATAGCATCCTAGCATTATGATTTGACAGTAGGAACTATGCTATATAAAAATATATGCAGTGTTTACAAATATTCTTAGAACTTAAAATATATTACACAAATATCGTTATTTTTATATCACTCAATAAGATTATTTTAGTCATTTATATTTTATATTTTTGTTATCAGTCATATAAATTTAGCCGATAACAAAAAAAAAATTTGATATAAATCTGAATATAATATTTTATATAATAAATATATATCTTTTTAACAACACATAATCTAATTAAATTTAATATAATAATTATATTTATACAATACAATATAATATAAACACTGCATATATTTTTATATAGCATAGTTCCTACTGTCAAATCATCATGCTAGGATGCTATTAATTGAAACTATATAAGATTATATTAATTTCTTAGCTATTCTATTTGATGGTAATATAATCTGTGGTAAAATTAATTTTTGATTAAACTATTTTATATTTTAATAAAAAATATAGTATTTTTTCTATCATTTAAATCTATACCTATTTTTATTTTTTTGTTGTCATAAAAAATATTTTCTTCAATAAAAAATATTATATCTTCTAGTTTTTTTATTATAAGGGTATTATATATATATATATACTTTTAGTTCATGCTCGATAAATGAATATAAATATCAACTTATGGAGTACAATATTTTCACGGTGTTTGGGAAACCGTTTTTTGAAGAGTTTTTAGCTTATTGAACAGTTTTTAGTTTGACAAGTCAAAAAGCTAATTTAGCTTTTTGAAAGAGCTTTTTAAACCCAAAAAGCTAATTTTTGAAAAGTTTATCTACCCAGCATTTTGAAGAAGTTTTTTTATTTTAATTTTTGGTATTCCTTATTTACCATTAAAACTTAATTATTTATTTTATACATATAAATATATTTTTTATAACAGTATTTATTAATTATTTTTATATATTTAATTTATTAAATTATATTTTTATTTTTGTAAATTTAAAATAATTATTATTATTAATTATTACATATAAATTATTTTATTTATAAAATATATAAAATTTTAAAACTGAATTAAATAGAATGTATGCTTTTAGTTTCCTTCGACACTTTTAAAAAATATCTGTGCTGATTTTAAAAATTTAAAAATGTATGCTTTTTAAATTTTATTAAGATATGTATGCTTTTTAGATAAAAATTTAAAAATTAAAAATTTGTACATTTAAAAATTATAAAAAAAAATATTTTTAAATGTTAAATATAATGAAAATAAAAAGATAAATGGTGCTGATTTTATGGAACGGAATGATTGAGATTATAATATTTGAGTGATCAGTTAAAAATGTATAAAAAAATTTTGACATTTTTATATTTTGATTTTATATATAAAATAATTATGCTTATAGTGATATATATTAAAAATTTAAATAAAAATTAAAAATTATTTTAATATTAGTATATCATTATTTAAATAAAAAAAAAAAAGATAAAACACATCAAAATAGAAAAGAGTAGTTTTGATTTGGAAGAATAGTTATCATAGTATCATACCATTAAATTAGGAACATTCCCCTTCTGTCTTCGTTTTCTCCGGCTTTGGATTGACTCCGACCGGCGGAATCCGGCTTCGTCTTCTCGTGCTGCAGTTGAAAGGTTTGTCTTCCCGTCTCTTTCTTCTCCCTCTTCTCCGGCTACAGCGGTGGTCGGCGCTGCGAATATTTGGTTTTCGCGTTGATGCGGCGGAGTTATTTACAGGAGAAAATTCGTGTTGATGTTTGGTGCGGCATTAGATTTTCCTTTATTTTTTAATATAAAATTTTAAATTCAATTCTAACAACTCAAGCATTTGTGTTTTCAGTTTAACCCCTAAATACCGAATTTACAAAGTGAACAGCCCTAGATCTAAGAAATCTCTCAAAGGAAAGGAAAGGAGGTGCAATGGCGTCTGGATGGGGAATTACAGGGAACAAGGGAAGGTGCTACGATTTCTGGATGGATTTCAGCGGCTGTATGTCTGCCTGTCGGGAGCCTAAGGACTGCGCACTTCTCCGTGAAGATTACTTTGAGTGTCTCCACCACTCCAAGGAGGTATATCCATTTCTCTTTTACAATTTTAGAATATTGGCACGATACACACCAGGTATTGTTCAAATCTTTTCTGAGAAATTCGTGTCTTACAATTGGAAGTTGGAACTGCAGATCTTATATGTAACCATGGCAGGTGTTTCCAAATCCTCTGGAATTCTGAGTTGGTTAGTTAGAAATTCCAACTCCGGTAATAGGGCAAACTCTATTGACAATTTGTGTTATATCCTTTCAACATCAGCCTCACCAACATGCGTTCAACTTTATGAACTAAGTGAAATTCTCTATTTGCATGAGATAGTTTTAAAAAACAAAAAAAGTATTTACTCCGTCCGCCTAGGGTAAATGGGTTACATTTACCGTTATTGTACTTAATATTACAAAAATCCTTAGATTTGTATATTTGACACTAATTAAAATTAAAAGTGCCGGACGGATGGAGTAGTCTATATATATATATATATAGATTTTGGGGGTTTGGATTTTGAGTTAGATTTGAACAGTAAAATTTTTGAATTGGAATAGTTTTGTAACTTGATATAAACAGGTATTGATGTAATGTTTTGAATGTAAAATTATTTTTTAGTGTAACAAAAAAATGAAAATTACAGATTTGATTTTATGTTTTTGGACAAAAAAAAATTTGCTGAATAGTAGAAATTTTTGAAAGTTTGCCAAAAGAACACAGGTAACTCATCTCTGGTGAATTGAATAGGTTTCAATGTAATTTAGATAAATGTGTTGGCTGTTGGTAATTAGAATGCTGTTAGTAATACTTTTTCCTTTTCGGGAATTAGTTGAACTTATAACAAGTCTCTACATTTGAGAGGTGTCGACGTGTTTACTTTAGCATTGAATTTTACTATTATACCATGCTCCACATTTCTGGTTTTCAAGAAAATTGTAGTGGGAAAAATCTTTTCTAGTGCATGAATTGTATTATGAGACTTTATTAGTATGTGCCACATTGAAACTTCTGATTAGATGGTACTAATAGGTGCCGTTTGCAGCGATTTATTTATGTAAGTATGGTTTAAAAGCTAGTTAAGTTAAATCATTTAAATTCGAACATGATGATTTCCCTTTGCCAAGTGGTTTGTTGAGGATGTGTCCTCTACTCTATATATGCATTCATGAGGAAACTCGAAAAGCTCCCAACATGCTGGTCGATTAAGATTTTCTTTAAAGCACAGCTAAATGGTGGTAGTAATTCTGATCAAGAAGGATTGATTTTTTTTATGTATGGTATAGAAAATTGTGTGAAAAAGGATAAAATATGTTATTTTAGTTGAATATTTGACTTTTGGTAATGAGCATTTGAAGTTTTTTTGACTTTTTTTTATTGTTTATAATTATTTTTGAAGAAGCGTAATTGAAAAATAATGTTGGAAGGTCAGATGTAACAATGAGTTAAATAAATTTTGATTTAGTTTTTGGATGACATTATGTTAATGTGATAGAAACTTTGAATATTAATATATAGCATTCATGATTAAATTTAGTTTTTTTAGCTCTTTGATCTCATGTCAAGTACTGTGCTGTTTCGGAAGTATCCTTTTTCTATTGTAACAATTGAAAATTCTCACCGGATTGTAAATAATACCATTCTTTGCAGTTCCAACGAAGGAACCGGATCTACAAGGAGGAGCAACGCCAAGCAAGAGCAGCTGTTGCCGACAAGGCTAAGGGAGGTGAGAACCACGACAATGATCATCACTGAGACTTGGATATTAAAAAATTGTGGCCCGGTGAAAGAGATGTCAAGATGAATTGATTTTTTTTTTTTCTTTTTCTTCTAATTGATAAAAAAATAAGAGGCCATGTTTGTTGTATTTGTCCATTGTTGGAATTTTACTCAACTTCTGCTCCAACTCCAACCATTGCTCATCCATTTATCAAAAATGAATTAATCACTTTCAACATAGCATAAAAGAGGAAGGTTTTGTTTGCAGTTACTTGGTATTATTTATCTAATAATACTATTATTATTTTTCAAAAGAACTTCGTAGTATCTTAAAAAAATAAAATTAGGATGTGATACGATGTTTATGATTTTTTTATTTTTTATTTTTTATATAGAATGTTGTTTTAAAAAATAAAGAAATTGAAAGAGATTAAACGCTTGAAACTTAATACAACAAATACAAAGAAAATCAATAATGTTCTAACACGGTAAAACCAGTCAAGTAATTGCAGATAAATGACATTAAATTGGCTGTTAAATATATGATTAAATAAGATGTTTTCATTTAAGATGTTTTCATTTTGTATTTTTAGATGACTATATATATTTTATATTAAATATAAAAAATTGTATTAATATAAAAATATTAATATTTTGGGTTGAATTGTTAGTTTTTGTGTGAATATAATATATATATTATATATTTTGTTAATATATATCATAATACTAGTTTTTTATAATATTTATAAAAAATTATATTATCCAAAAATAAGTCGAGTAAACAAGAAATTTTAAATTGTGTAAAATTTGCCCTATATGTGAAGCAAATTATAATTTTTAAACATTTTTTTTTATTTCGCATTTTAATACAAATCTCTCGATGGTAGGCTTTAATTTTATCCTATGACATTGGAAAATGTCATGGAATCCTATGTGGTATTGTCGATGCTCAAGTAGACATGATTGGCTAAGTGATTTATTTTGCGATGCCACTCAACGTTCACTTCGGCGCCGAGGATACCACATAGGATCACAAGGATAAAATTAAGACCTACGATCGACATATTGTACTAAAATGTGAAATAAAAAATTCTAGAAATTTATAATTTTCTCTATTATATATTAAAATAATTCATGTCTAACCTAATGTGCATGAATATTTCGGACAGTGAAGTAATTAATTATTTTCCTATATATAGTGATACCTAAAAATATCCGTAAAATACTTGTAAAATATAATCAAATTCGAATATATATACATATGAATCCTCAACATATTTTTGGGTATTTGCCTGTAGATACCAAAAAAATAAAACAATGATTATTTTAATAGACAAAAATACCTGCTTTGAATTACAATTCTCTGTTAAGACTTTCTTATATATTAAAAATTATTACACAAAATTAGCTTTTTAGAAAATTATGTGTAATATTTTTAAAAACACAGGAAAATTTTATTAAATTTTTTAGAAAAATTGTACAATTTTTTTAAAATATAAAAAAATATTTACAGTTTTTAAGTCATAAATAAATATGATTCAAACTTTTCAAATTTTATATATTATAAGCAATTTCGCGGCTTTAATAAAATGGAGTAAAACAAATGGAGCAAAGGGTTACTTTAGACTAGTCAATCAAATAAAACTTATTTAAATTTTTTTATAAAAGAAATAGTAATTTGATATTAAAAATTGAGTTGTATATTTTTCTATAAATATAAATATAAATATAATATAGGATCAAAATTGGTTTTATCTCTATTTTAGCCCAATTCAAAAATATTATAATCAGATAATATAATTATTAAACTTATTACACAAACATCAAACTAGATAAAATAGAAAATAGAAAATGTTAAAACCCAAAAGTAACCTAATCAAAGCTTCCGAGTTTTGTCCAGATTCTTTCAAAGATTTGGACTAGAAAGGGTGTTGTTCAAATGAAATCATTAAATCATAACCCTACTACCCCTCTATTCACTAATTTTTTTTTTCCAAAAATCTAATCAAAAACCAGTATGAACTCATCGCCAACTTATTAGTAGGAAAGTATGCTACGCTACGCACCTCGTCGGGATCTAAATAAGATGGCGCACATTTAGAGAATCAAGACTCCAGCTTTGCATTGGATGGACGAATGCCCACAATATGCGGCTTGAAAGGCACCAAGAATTCTGGGTCAACTCGTGGTGGTATTTTGAGAGATGGTTTTGAATTGATGTACTGCTTGTGGACACAAGGGAGCCGATTAATGTATTGAATACGATTAAAAAATATGAAAGACAAAATTTTAGTAGGTGATTTTAGTACCTTGGCGACATCCCTGAAAAATGCATTGATCTCTTCTTCGGTAAGACCATCCTCATCGGCATTTTCCTCCCAGCCCAAAGAACGTAGAAATGCAGCCTCTTCCTCTTCAGAGAATATAGGATCCGATGTAGGGATTTTGTCTCCAGTTTTAACATGCTTCTTCTGCCCAGAACAAGTATCGTCATTACCATTGAGGTTCGTGAGGCATGCCGCCTCAGTTGTATTGCCACCTGAATTTATATTGTCGGAACCACTGTGACTTTGAGAAGTATTAGGAGCACTCACTGCATTTGCTTCTGCAATATTGTCTGAAACAGATGCAGTCACGGTAGTGTCACTGTTGTTACTGTCCGGGTCTGATGAAGAGATACTGACAGATGAATCTACAGCAGAAGAGGAGTTTGCCATGGATTTTTTCCGCACTGAATTGAAAAAATCATTTCGACTCTGAACTTGAGGACTGGGTCGCTTCTCCGGCAGATTGGATGCAGGCTTACTTTCATGGCTTTGCGCAGCACAAGTAGGAGCAGTGGAAACAGATGCAAGTTTAGAAATAGAATTTACTAATCTGGCACCATTTCTCGGACTCAAGTTGTCTTTGACAGGATCAGCAGCATTCTTTTCACGCACTGGTTTGAGAACTTGGAGCTTTCCCATGTTTGAGGGCTTCAAGACATCGATTTTCACAGTAGTATTTGTACGTTGAATGGGGTGATTAACAACAAATGAAGATGATACAGGGTGCTGTTGCTGACCCACTTTAGTTTTCTGTTTATCCAATGAACTGAACACCTGCAGCAAATAATAACGTAACACAATTATCCACATGACATCAAAGTTCCAAAGAATCAGTGGAACACAAATACTAAGGAAAATCAACTAGACTTACAAACTCCTCAAAAGTTTCTATAAACCAGTCAACCTACAGATTTATATTAGTAAATGGCGCCTCCAGGATTCATTATTATAAGAATGTAGATGGCAGCTCAAGCCCCAGGAAACAGCCTCAGGCTATTTAATTTGCTTGCTAAAACTTACTAGTATGGCAAATGATTTGAGTTTGATTTAAACAATCAAATATTTCTTCTACAATCTTGTGTATATAAAATTTTTAAAAAAAAAGATCCAACCAAGCCTCACAAATCTCATATCCATCATTGTCATTTGACGACCTCAGACGCAGCAATTATCTTTTATTTCACCAACAAACTTTGTAGTTGCATATAAAATATACTTTTACATTAGACAAAAAGAGTTACAAAAACTTAGATCCAGGAAACGTAGGTATGAGTCGCAGAACTTAAATATTTTTTTCTTTAGACAGTTGGAAATGCATTGTAAACTTTGTCATGATAGTCCGTGCTTTGAGATAAAAGGTCCCTTGAAAGCAAGAAACCGAAAAGATAGGACTGGCATGTAGTAAAGGATGACATCTAATATAAAACAGTTCATCATATATGCATGCTTCAAAATTATAATAACTAAATAAATGTTATTTTTACCTAAGGCACAGAAGCATATAGAATCAACTAACTCAGAGTCAATGTGATCAATAACTCCATTATACAGAGTATCTTTACAGCCTTTTAGGTTCATATTTACTCAAGTTCCTTCCTTTTTTTTTAAGTTTATTTTGTCAGTATCTGTGTTTATATGCCCTGTATATAATAGCAGATATCTTAGATATAAAAAGATGAAAAAAGGAAGGCAATTCAGGCATTGGACTAAAGTCTGACACTCCAAAATAACAGCACCAAGGCAACAAGACTTCATCTGCCACACCAAACCTAAAGTCAACCCAATAAGTCAGAAGCATGGCACAATCTAACAGAATAGTGAGGACAATAATAGCTCTTATCAGATCGGCAATTCTATGTCCAGATAGAGTGAGAAGCAACAAGTGCTGATCTACATCAAGGCTACAGACCAAACACGGGTTTCTTTTGATATGTTTCGCTTCTAAGAGATAAGTTGGGCTCAGTATTTAAAACTCCTTCAGTAATTTTCAAAGATGAACAAACTAAAGCCCCTTTAGCATACAAGGAACTTATAATTGGCAGTCAACAAAGGGTTACTCATAAGTGACGAAAAGAAACCTATAGGATATTGCTCCTGCACATCCATAGCCATCACAACAATGTAATTCACTCTCTAAACAAGAACTCAAATGGAAGCAACAAGTAATAATATAACACATTATTGTTAAGTCCACAAGAAGACCAAAGTAAGCTGAGTCTAACTTGGCCTGACGGGTATAAATCCATATGGGCAGTGAAGCTGCCATCGTGGGCTCGGGTGGTGGTGAGAGGTAGGCCAGCTTAACCCTATGCTATTCCTACCGACACCAACCCACTCCAAAATAACTTTATCCCCAAGGTTAAAAATGTAAAAAAAAAAAAAAAAAAAAAAAAAAAGGAATTTGATTGCACACATCATCAATGTCCATCAAGGTCGTGCCATCAAGTGAGGCTATGCCGTTGAACTAGCATTTGATCCAACAAGGAGTTTCAGGTCATGTAATGCCACAGCACCCAGGCTAAAAGGTGATGTGTCGATGACATCAAGAGGGTTCCTCAGAGCTCTGCCAACCACACTTTTCAGATGGAATACATGGAAAATCCAGCGGATGCAGGTACAAGGGGAAGTTGTTGCTCATACACTGCTGGACCCACCCAATAATTAGCTATAGCATGATATGAATACCGCTGAATAAATTCAGAAATAGAGGCCACCCAAGACACCTCTGAGCTAATAATATAGTAGTGCTGGGCACAAACTCGCATGAACAATCTCAAATGAAGAGAGTTTGGTGGGAACACGGAATGGCATATTATACCAATACTCAATCTGTAGTAAGTAACTTTCGGAAATAGCTCTAGCATGTACGCTCTTATAAATTCTAAAGTACATGTTCAATGGCACCAATAGCAATAAAATTTCTTGTTGTTTTAGATGAGAAGGGAAAAATAAATAAATAAATAAATTGGGCTTCATTTGGCCCCTACAATGCTTGTCAATTATTGTCAATCTTTTTAATTCATCTGAATCAAACTTCAAATAGTTGTTCCCGGCCTCCAGTTCCATAGAAAAATAGCATTTGTTTTCATATTTATGCTTTACTTTGCAGAGATCCTCCCCTCTCTAATATAGGTGTAGATGGAGTTCTTCGTTCATTTCTACTTGCCCCTATTATGGTTTGTTAGGCCATCATTGTCATGTTACATTGCTCATTTCTACTTGTTTCATAAAATGGCCCAATAAACTCTATGAACTCTCAAATAGCAGTGGAAATTTCAGAAGATGAGATTGAAAAAGGTGGAACAAGTAAGAGAGGATTTATATATAAAAAGAATTACACCTCCAACTTGCACCCAAGGCAAGTGACATCCAATGTATAGCCTATAGCACAGTTTATGAATTTGAGTCAATCAAGATCCTAGGTTGCAACAAAAAACTAACAAGGTAAGCCAATCTAATACCACAAGAATTATTATTCATGAACCAACATCAGCCACTCTTCAAACATAGTATTCAATAGTGGGTGATAGTACCACCACCGCTGCTCTATTGTGGTGGGCTTACGCACTCATGACATATCCACTTGCTAAGAAAGAAACGTGTGGGTTAAATTGGATTCATAACTATTTTCTATCAAGAGTAGTAGCGAGGAAAGTGAAAAAAGGTAAAAAGTTTATTATAGTAGTAATCCAATTGTTTTAGCATATATAACTACATATAGTTGTATATTTTAACATTTTATGTTACTAGCATAAACTATGAGATTAATCTATACAATATATCTATGCATATTTATTATACTTTTGCATATATAAGCATTTCTATATGTATCATTTTAAGCTATCGAATAGTGATCACCCCGCCACCCTGCTACAGGTACTATTTAATGCTATCCAAAATTGATAACTATGTATTCAAATAATGCCAATCCTAAAGTCGAAGCAATTAAAATAGATAACCCTCATTTGCATCAACACACAAGTAGCCAAAAAGGCGCATTGAACCTCCTTCCTAGAGAATAGAGTTGCAGACGAATCAAACCACTCAAATAAACAATATCATTCGAGTTGAGTAGGCTTTTAGAATAAACAACCTTGCTTCTTTATGTCAAGTTTAAAGAATTTATCATAATTTTACTATAAGCTCGATAAGAATCAAACTCATGTTAAAAATCCTTCTGCCAAGTCAAGAGCTAAGAAAGCAGGATTAAGGTTTAAGCAAACGTCAAAACAAGGAGCACAAAGGCACTGTAAAGCAATTGACCACATCAAACAAGTTGGCGAAACAATCATAGATCCAATAAGCATGAAGAGTAACCCACAAGTTTAGGTGCAAAACAAAACAAAAAAACAAAAAAAAAAGGAAGTTCAGGTGCATAAAGACAAAACCAAAAGAAAAAGGGAATTGGAGTAAAGAATTGATACGATAAAAAAAATTGATGAGTCCAATGAACATGAAAAATAAAGCCTCCAATAGCTAAGAATAACTGATCCACAAATTACTACAGGGAGAATGTCCCCAACAGCAAGAAGAATAAGTTCATATAGAAAATAAAACAAATTTGTCGTTCTAAAAGAGGAAAGGAAAGAAACTTCAACAGAGTGAGCCAACAATGAGAAAAGAAAATAAGAGAAATTCAAAAGATTCACAATCATAGAAGTGAAAAGCTGTGTAGACTAAGCAAAGGCAAATGAAATTAGAAGAATTGCATCCAAGGGCAATTAGAAAGCCCAAAAGGGCTTAAACAAATGAATAACATGAGAAAGCCAAGGCACAGCACATTCTAAGATTAAGACTAAACAACGGATTCCAAACAAAGAGAGCATTGGCTGCATTGAATATAGGGATTTCTCTTGATGACTTACGCTTTTCTTCCTATCAACAGATTGTTTTTTTTTTTTCTCTTTTCTTCCATTTGATTATTTTGTTGTCAAATCAAGTCAATAGCTACTTGTTGCTTAGATGGGGAAAAAAATAATTTAACAATTCACTATTCAGTAATAGATGAAGGGGTGACCAGGTAAATTATAAAAACGTGGAGCACAAATAGGGTACAAACCATTCCAACTGCAAATAATGATAACTATTATATTGAAATATCCTAAAGTTAGTTTCTCGTTACAGTTATCAAGTTATTTCTTTCCTAATGTCAGGTGAGATATATTGGGCAAAGAATGCAGCTGGTACTTCAATAGAGTTGCTACATATAGATATTTTGTGTTGATATGAGGAAGTGTCATGGATGGAATCATTCAAATGCATTAGATTAATAATACAACAAATAAATGAACTGAATAAAATTACAGCAGAAAAACTCCCCAAACTTGAGATAATAGGTCAGAGACAAATGTGAGTGAGGTTGATGTGTTTTCCTCACCCTTCCATTAGCAAGAGTAGACCTATACACAAAGGCTATGGATGTAATACGTTTTCTGTCACAAGGCAACCAAGAGGCATTTCTCCAGCCAAAAAGATGTGGGTGTTTGAATATTTGGAGAATATGACTAGCCAAATCTATATAATTAGCATATCCTCATCATTTAACGCTCTATTCCACTTCTATACAACTAGACAACACATCATTCCCTTACTGAAGATGAAAAAAAAGCTGGAACATTAGAGTTCTGAAAATCATTTAGTAACATGCAGCATGCTTTTAACATTCTAAATACCATTAATAACAGTGGAAAACTAATAAGCATCACTATAACCAGAAGAGACACCAAATCAACCTAATGACTGAACCAATATGAAATATTGATGACCCACAACTTTTACCCAGCGGGGTGGTGTCAGTTATAATGAAGCAAATAAATAGAAGGTAATTATTTCACTAATCCTTTGATCATATGAAACATTAGATAACTTCAATCAATTACCAATAATAATAACAAATAATTAACCAGATAAACAATGGCTCAAAAAAAGAAAAAGTAAAGGAAATAAAAAAAAAATGAGAGATGCCATAAACTAGAAATGGAAAAACATAATTTGCAAAATCCAAATCAATTAATATTGAAAGTCTTACCAAAGGTTTTGGCATGGACGGCGTAACAGGAATTAATTGCCTGGACTGTTTAATCGCTAATTCTTCAAGTCTCTGAGTTTCCACAGATACCTAATAAAATAAGAAAGGAAAAAAAATTAATATTAGCAAATCCATAAGCATCTTTATGTAAAGAGAGATTGAGATCTACCTGAGGAATTATTTGAGTACACTTAGGGCCTTGAATTACAGCCTCGGCCATGTTAAGATTCGATGGTGTCCCTACAGCCACATGCATTACACCTGACTGAGCAACTTGTTGCGTGGAAGACATGCCAGTTCCAGTGCTTCCAACTGAAACCGGAACCCCTGCTAACACCGAAGTCAAAGTTTCATCACTATTAATAGCTGAGGATCCGATAGGTAAACCCTGAACGGCAGAAGACAAGCCAGGAGATGGAACTCTTCCAACTTCTGAACCGACCGATTTTTCTTCAGCACCCAAAGATGGAAATTCTCTCTCAAATGTTACTTTGCTGACCTGACCAATCGAATTTCCTTTGGAAGGTAATCCATTGCTATTACTGCTCGACTCAGCAATAACTTTCCTATGCCAGGTACTCCCACATTTCCCAGAAACTCTCTCAAATTCATTGTGCAAATTGTCACCACGTCCATCTGAGAAGTCCCTAAATCGGCGGTCCCGTGAATTCTTATCTAGCTTATCATTGGTATTGTTCCTATCATATTCCCTGGGGTGTCGATTCCTACCAAAATTACTACGAGACCTCTGACCCCCAAAACCATTACTGCTAGAACTCCGGTGAAAATACGATGAGGTTGCTTTTGCAGAACTAGAAGATCCACCAAAGTCACTATTACTATTCGCAAATGATTTACTTCGAAGAAGGTCCGACGCAGCTGGTCTATCTAAAAATAATTAAAAAGACAGTTGAAATCACTACATAGACAGCAACTACAAATCTTTGATTCTAGAGATCTAACTCATAAGATATTTACCTGAATGTGATGCTGAGCCACTGCCCACAGTTCCAGTTTTCTTCAACCATTCCGGTACCAATGTAGGTTCACTTCTTTCCATGACAGTTGTTATACATTATCGCATAATATCAAATGAGAGGAAAAAAGGATCAATCTTTCTTAAATAACCGAGCATCCACCGCCAAATGCCGATATCCAATTTTGCCCCTTTCTCGACGCCCAAACAAAACCAATTGTACCAAATTCTCAAACTCACGTACCATTCAACCCTATTGTCTGCACAGCAACAGCTTGTCTAATCTCCAAATTACAAACTTCAGAATTGATTTATCCAGGGCAGCAAGGACCTCATTATCACTTTACTTTTCTCTACTCAATCAACTTATAAATCAGACCTGTCACCCTCACACAGCCAAGAAAAACTTTGATACCTCAGCAATAATAAATTCTAACAAAAGCCACCTAAGATTTTCTCCCATGCAATGAAAATCTCAAACCAAATCAATCCTTCATCAATAAATACCAGCCTCACGAACAAAATAAAACCAAATGCAGTCAATATACCTGCACCTAAACCCCACCCAACAACAAACCGAAAAGCAAATCCCACTAATTCGAAAATTTTCCAGAAATCAGAACCAGTTTCTATAAGTCCGCCAAAATAACTGAGAACATTCGACTGAATCAAATACCTAAAAGAACACAATCTGTACCGCGATTAAAAGAAGAAAATTGCCTCCCTGTGTTGAAGAAAAACCCTAGTCCGTGGCACTCGCCGCCTCCAAGGCACCGTAATTGGCCGATTAATTGTTTATATTCAGCGCAATTTTCTCAACAGAATCAACCAAACAAAGCACCGTTCCCTTATCCCAATCTCGTGAATTCGATGCGGCCCAGTAGGAAAGAAGAGGATTCTATATGTATGTTCGGCAATGGAGATTTTTGTATGGATATCGTGTGTGTATATATATTATTCGCTTTGTATTGTATTCGAGGAAGTTTGTCTGTCTGTTGGCCTCCCTTGGTCGACCTCGTGCGTGCTTTTATAGGCTACTGAACAATACGATACAATACAAAAACTCTGTTTAATGCCCTTGCCTCGCCTTGCCTGCCCTATTATTATTATTATTATTTTAATTTGTTTATTTAATATAGTATTTGTATTAATTAATTAATGGAAGATTAGATATGTTTAACCTAAATAAATATAATTTATTAGGAAGCTGCCTTAATTAAAATCGGGACGAGGACAAAGTCGTCATTTTATATTGGACCAAGGATTAGGAAGAATATAAAAAACGTGAATCGTGATAATTAAGGATACCGTGGGATGAAATCTCGTGCATTTAAATTAATTAAATAAGGGACTATTTTTTTTATTTTTAAATTTAATTTATTACCTTTCCTAAAAACAACAATCTAAATAATTATTTAAATATGTTTATTTTGTGTTTTTAATTTTAAAAAAATCATAAAAAATTATATTCATAATATAACAATTAATATTTTATATTATTATTTTATTTTTTTGGAATAAATACCTTATAAACTAATATATATTAATTATATCTAAAAGTTTGTATTCTTTCATAAATAATAATATATATATATTTTAATATTATAAAAATATAGAAGTATAATATATAATGCATACATTTCTATTTGAAGTTTAATATATGGTTTTTTTTATATACAAAATTTTTTACACATTTAAAAAAATAATAATAATTAATATACTATATATATATTCATTATTTTTATATTATCTACACAATTTTTTATACATTACATTAAAAAAAACTTCTTTCGATCAAAGCTACAAAATAAATACACACCCTTAATATTATATATTATTAAAAAATATTTTAAATTGAAAATATAAAACAAACACACTCGTATTTATTTATTATTCATATTATACTTTAAAATTCCATTTCTTACAAATCAATAATACACATTATTATATATTTATTGTATTAAAATTTTTTATGAAAACGTGAAATTTTGTATTATATGATTATCCAAATAAATAAAAATATATTTAAATCTAAACAATTTAAAACAATATAGATTAGATAAGATAAAATTTAAATCTAAACTTATTAAAATCAATATCTAAATATCTCAACATATTAAAATATTGATATAATACATTTAATTATCTTTTTTTTTTTTCTTTTTTCTTTTTTTACTTTTTCGTCATTTGATTAAATTTATTCTATTATTATATTTAAAAAAAATAAAAAAGTTAATATTTAATTATTATTCTTTATTCATATTTATTTATAATTATGGTGTGTTTGTTCGAGGGTTTGAATTTTGAGTTGAAATTTAAATATTAAAAATTTTAAATTTAAATAGTTGTATGATGTGATATAACTAAGCGTTGATGTGATATTTTGAATATAAAATTAAATTTTAATATAACATAAAAAAATAAGTGTTCAATTTGATATTTTTTTGAAAAAAAAAAAATATTGTAAAAATAGTAGACATCTAGTCAAATCATTCAAACAAACATACCCTTAATGTCACTAATTTTATTACGTTTTCTCTTTATTTTTTTTAATTACTAATTAAAATATTTAAAATACAATTAATTATCCTCTTATTTTTGTTTATTTTTAAAATAAAATATTTATTTTTTAAATTTACATGTCAAACCTAAATAAGCTAAATATGGCAAATCCGTACCATTAGTTGTTTTTTTTTTCAATATTCACTCAAGTCTTTTATTATTGTTATTTAAATTTCTTGGAAGTGAAGCCAGAGTTCGTTTTGAATTTTCCGTCCAATTAATTTGACTCAAAAAAAACTTTTAATTATTTACCGTTTTTTGTCCGTCCAAAATAATAGTTTTATTTTCATAAATAATCATATTACTGTAAAATAATTTTTACTTTTGTACTTTTTACCCACTACCAACATAATATCAATATTTTAAAAATATCGTATCAAACACATTTCAGACTATAATTTTGGAAAGATGAAGTATTATTTATTAGAAAGTCTATTCACTTATAATGTGTTTGATACAAATAATTGAAATTTGAGAAATAAAAATATTTTCGTTTATTTTGTTTGTTTGAATTGATTTTTGAAAAATAAATTATTTTTGTTTATATTTTTATCTCATATCTATAAAAATCAAGAGAAATAAATATTATAGTATATTTATCTTTTTTATTTTTTATTTTTTATAATTTTAAAAATATATTATTTCAATTTTTTAGAAAAATATATCATATTTAATTAATTATTTAAATATTTAATTTTTATGATTTAAAAAATATATATTAAAATATAATCTTATAAATCATCGTATATAATTTATTATTTAAACAAAAATGTAACCAAAATATTTTTTCGTATATTATCTCTCGTTAAAACTATTTTGTCTAATTAGTCATTTACTTTTATCGACTCATCCAGATAGTTCTATATTTGTACATTTTTTAATTGAATTTTTTATTTTATTAAACAAAATAATTAATTCAAAATTTTATTAATTCTTTTTCCTTGCAATTACATTCCTTTTTTTTTTCTCAAATTTCATTATTTGTATCAAACACTTCTTTATGGGCTATTTGGTTCATGGATTTTTTTTTGTGGGATTGAGAATTTATATATGATGGAATTTATTATATTTAGGATTTAGAATCCTATCATATGTTTGGTTGGTAAAATTTTGTGGGATTTATATTTCTCACGTCTTGTTTGATTTTTCATATTCTAAATGACATAATTGTCCATGTGAATTTTATTTATTTTGATAAATTAAACATCTAATTTTATAATATATATGAATTGAAAATGTATTAATAATTTTATAGGGATTACAATAAGTTATCGTAAACTCGAAACCCGACTCGAACCCGACCTATTTATTTGAAGTTGAGTCCAATTATTTGAGTATTAGATCTTAATCCGGGTCATATTATGGGTATTCTAATCGGGTCCGAATCGGGTCTAGGGTCTAAGCGACCATACCCGCACCTAGACTCGATTTATAATATTAATAATATATCGACTATACATATACAAAAAATAATTTCTAACAATATAATTATATTAAAAATATTTTTTTAAGTTTAATTTATTTATTATTTTATTATAATATTTTTTTTCATACAATACATAAATAATATATATCGGATCGGTACATGTGTAATTTTAAATTAAAATTTAAAAATCGTAAAAAGAATTGGATTTGTTAGATCCATTGGGTTTTACCGGGTATAGTTTCGGCCGGATCTGGTATAATCAATCCAATTTGGATCTAAAGTTTAACAATATATATATTCGGGACGGATCTCAGTTCCGGCTGAATCCGACTTATTGTCATCCTGATAATTTTATAATTTAAATAAAATTTATAATAAATAACAATTTAAAACAATGAATTTATTAATTTATTTAAAAAATATTGTACCATAAAAATTAATATTAATTTAATTTAATATATAATTCAAATAAAAATTAATTTTAAAATTATTTAATTTAATTTTATATAAATATATTTATAATATATAATATATTTTTTTATATAAGGATATAAAAGTAAAATTTAAAATCCCATGGAATGAGATTTAAAAGTAATAGGGTACCTCATTACTAATAAATCCCTCATTTGTAGGATTTTGGACTATGTTTTTAAATCTCATTATTTTAAATTCCATTATTTTTTTTTTGAACCAAACATGGATTTAATGGAATTTTAAAATCCAAATCTCATGAAATCTTATCAAATCCTTGAAACAAATAACTGAACTATGTTTCATAAATATTATTAAAAATATAATATTCACACATTAATATAATATGTATTTTACATGCTCACAAAAAAATAAAAATTCAACATAAAATATAATATTTATTTTTTATTTTACTAATATAATTTTTCATGTATACCATAAAAAATATTTACCATAATGAAAAATCATGCTCAAGCCAAAAATTGACACATACAGTAATTTGATATGAAATAATTGATTTTGAGTCAAAAATTTTAATTCGATTATGTATACAAATCGACACAAACCTGATACGATAATAAACTCGGGTTAGGATTGAGGTTTTCAAAATCCGAACCCGACAATCCGTTTATAATATAAGAATATTAATTAATATGTTTATTGTATACTTAGAATAATTTTAATTCTATATATTTTTTTTCAAAAAATTATTAATTTACATTGAATATAATCTAAATATATTATTTTTATTAGTTTTTACTATTTATTATTTATGTGTGTACAACTATTTTTTATTAACTAGTATTTTTAGTTTTTGGGAATTGATAATTTAATTATAATTTGATATGTAAAAAATTTTAATTTAATTTTTTTAAAAATCAACAAACGAATTAATTTCGTGTTAGTCAGATCGAATAATCTAATATGTTTAAAAAATTATTAAAATAATTTGATAAATAAAGAAGTCGAGTTTTTGATCCATTTAAAAACTCAACCTGATGACACTAGCTAATTGTTTATTTGCCTTTTTCCTTTTTGGCGGGAGGCTTTTGGGAGATCCTAAATTGCTATGATTCCACCAGAATCTGCCACGTGTAACCGCGTCTGATCTTTTATTTTTATTTCCTTTTATGTCCTAACCCTGGGGCTTGGAGTTTTCAGTTTTGGACTGATTCGCAGTTGTCCATTTGCTCAAAAGTCTTCGAATCCATTCCTCCTCTCGGCTGTTCTCTGCTGAAAATTCACTGACCTAGCAGGCACACGCACAGATTCCACGTTTGTGAGGGTTTTGATCGATGAAGGATGATGGGCTCCAGGCATAAACGGCAGCAACGCCCGCGGCTCGACCGGCGGAACGCCAGGAAAGACATTGATTACGACGCCGATGCTACACCGTCGTCTTCGTCTTCGTCTTCCAGATCGTTTTCGGGCGATCAATCGGTTTACAAAACGAGGTCGCTGGACTTGTCGCCGTTGTCCGATCGAACCAGCTTCCGTATCGAAGGAATTGAAGGACAGGTGGATCATATTTTCCAGCAGCTCGGTCTCGGACTCGACGACTTCTCGATTCCTGTGGCGGCTTGGGAGGCGAGGAAGATTTTATCTCCTTCGAGCAATTTTTGGGGTTCTGGTGACCGGAATTGTGCGAGTGAGGTGTCGGACAGTTTTCGCTCTGGAATTAGGGCTGATAATGGCGAAGACAATGCTAGGGATGTGATGAGTTCAGATTGTTGTCGAGACAGCAATGGTAATGTGCAAAATAAGGTAGTTGCTTCTAGTGGATATGGAATTAACGGCACTAGGCCGCCGAAATTGGTGCCTCCACAGTTGCTTACAGTCATGGAAAATGCAAGTGACTCAGGTGAGTTAGTGGACAGCATCGGAGCTGGGTTAAGTGAAGATGATGATACAGCCAAGGATAGAAATGTGTTGATTTTGGACTCTGAGACTGTTGAGGAAGACAAAGTGATAACAGAGGTTGTAAGTGCTGTTGGTCCACAGAAATTGGCTCCTCCACCTGTGAAGATGCGTTCGATTGTGGATGATACTAGCTCCACCTGGGATATATTCAAAGGATTCGGCCCTCAAGAGGGTCAGGATTCGAAGTCTCCGAGAGATGTCATTAGCCACAGCCATTTGATTGACAAAGTTGAAGAAAATGTGGATGTTGAAAGGAGATATAATAGTGGAGAGCAAGAAGAGAGGGAGGATTCAGTGAAAAGGGATAAGGGTGTTGGTTTGGAGATACCTACGGATTCCTTGAACGACGAAAATGGTTATTATGTGTCGCCAAATGGTTCTTTAAGATGTGGTATCAAGTCCTGGCAGAAGGGTGATTTTCTTGGAAGTGGATCCTTTGGGACTGTCTATGAGGGCTTCACTGAGTAAGTCTTTCCTCGTCATAATAAGTATAATTGCCTTATGGTAGATTGTTTGCACATTCGTATACATATGCTCCCACTCACACAACATTCACTTGCTGAATTTCTTTCGATGAATTTGATCGGTATAAAAATTGTTGTATAACCACATAAAAAATAGGTTGGAATCAAGTTATAATTGAGTACTTATTATTTTTTTAATTCGATGATAACTTAACAATGCACTTTTTGAATTGTGCAAGGTCAAATGTATCTATTGTTAATAGCATGATTAGTTTTTAATTTAATGGTGATTGATTGCTTAGGCTACGAAAAAAATCTATTGAACCATCTAAGAAACCTTTTGAATTGTAAACGAAATTTGTTGAACCATGCTAAATGCTTGTTTGTTGAACAATATAAAAATCTGTTGAATAACATACAAAGTCTGGTGAACAGAATAATTCAATAGTAGATAATCCAGAATGATATTTATACATATATTAAAGTATTGCCAGAAAGGTTAGTCGAATGTGATTCTGAAAACACTATATGGCTTGACAAGTAGCAATTAAGTTCACGCTTATTAAGTGAGAATTGAAGAAGTTATAAGCTTATACATATACTCAATTTTCTTCAATATAGATTCTTATCTCTTGCTGGCATGAAATTGCTTTATCTCTTGGCTGTGCAGTCCTGTGTAAGGATTTTATTTGAAGTGATTGTATACAAGCATGTGCAATCTTTGTGTGTTTGAGCAGATTACAAATTTATTTCATGTAATTTGCTGCAGTGATGGATTCTTTTTTGCTGTAAAGGAGGTATCATTACTAGACCAGGGTAACCAAGGCCAGCAAAGCATATACCAGCTTGAACAAGTCAGAACAGCTAACAATGCTTTCCAGCTCTTCAAATTATAATGCTTCGACAACTCTTACATAGATTGACATTTCTCCTCTATATGATGTTCATCATGCAGGAGATATCCCTTCTTAGCCAGTTTCAGCATGAGAACATAGTTCGCTATTTGGGCACTGATAAAGTATACCATTAATTTCTTAAGGAAACACCTTCATATATCTGTTTTCCTAGTCACGCTTACTGCGTATGATTGAGGAACTTTCATGTTTTCTCATAGCATGTTTTGTACGACACCTTTTCAGGATGATGCTAAACTGTATATCTTCCTTGAGCTTGTGACAAAAGGTTCACTTGCAAGGCTGTACGGAAAATATCAGCTTAGGGACACGCAAGTCTCTGCATATACAAGGCAGATTTTGAGTGGGCTGAATTACCTCCATTGCAGAAATGTAGTCCACAGGTGACTCAACCTATCTTATCATTCTAGTTGCCACTGTAAACACTTTTTTTCCTTGCATTGTCTTTTCCATTTCCACAGTATGGATTCCTTGAGGAAAATGAGGCAAGATTTTCTTTTTTTCTTTTTTTTTTTTTGGGTAAGATTTTACCCTCCTTTGGAATATACTAAATCATGGTTGAGGTTAGACATTTTGATGTCAATGCACATATAGCAATGTCCAAGAATGTGCTCGAAATGCAAATGCTAGAGTCTAGTTATTTTAATAATTTCTATATTTTCTCTGAAATCAGTTTTCCTCTTTATTCAGGGATATCAAATGTGCCAATATATTGGTAGATGTACGTGGTTCTGTTAAGCTGGCTGATTTTGGATTGGCTAAGGTAGGTTTCGTGACAAATGATATATTTCATTCTGTAACCATATGCTTATTTGTATTCTTAAAGATCTTTGCATATATTTTTGCTTGTATTTTTCAGTCTACGAAGCTGAATGACATAAAATCTTGCAAAGGCACACCATTTTGGATGGCCCCAGAGGTGACTTTCCTAGCTCGGCTGTTTTACTTTGGTTCAATTTTTTTTTTTTTTCAAAAAAATTGAATTTTAGACGATTAGGAATTTGATGTGGGCATCTTTGCCTATCCCCAAAATCATACTTCTCAGTAACTCAATTATTTAACACTTGAGGATATAACATCTTATTGAACTGTGCTCTTACCCCATGAAGCATTATTAGTTCTTAGTGGGATTGCTCCCATATTTACATATAAGATAGAATATAACTCTTCTTTGTTAGCTTCTCCATATAATGTAGAACCAAACAGGCAATCAAACCATTTTTATTATATCAGTAACTTAGAACATGAATTCAAGGATATTGACAATCTGAAATATAAGGGTAAAAAATCATCGTATCTTTCTGTTCAGCTTTTTATTGTGAACTATGAAGCTGCTATGAGCTAAAAACAAGATATCCTGCCTGTCAGGTTGTGAACCAAAAGAGCCATGGCTATGGTCTTGCTGCTGATATCTGGAGCCTTGGGTGCACTGTACTGGAAATGTTAACTGGTCAAATTCCTTACTCGAATTTGGAAGGGGTATGTACAATTACATGGATAATTTGATTTCTAACTATTGTTACACATCCATAGGAATTTTGAACTTGGGTCGAAAAATTGATATACTTGTATATGTTATTCGTTTATCTTACATGTCGATTCTTGCATTCTTCAACCCCCTAGATTGTTCTCATATTCTTCCGAAATGGGGCTGTATTAAATAACCCCTTTCTCTGCACGACAGATGCAAGCACTATTTCGGATTGGTCGGGGACAACTTCCTCCCATACCCAATACCTTATCAAGAGATGCCGAAGATTTTATTCTCAAATGCTTGCAAGTTAACCCCGATGAACGTCCCTCTGCTGCTCAACTATTGGACCATCCATTTGTTAAGAAGCCACCTCCCACTTCTCCCATCTCCATGCAATCTCCACACCGCCACGCCACGTGGTAATAGATAGGTAAGTATCATCAGTTTTAAGTTAGGATTCTCTTTCACATGACCTTTTGGCCACCAGCATTTGTCATTTGCTGTTTTCTGTCCTTTTGTATTTGACCTCTGATCATACACATGTTAGGAGGCAAAACCTTCAGAATGATCCAGACCTGTCCAAAGGCCTCCACCTGTCCAAAGGCCTCCAGGAAGAATCACGCAGCTGTCGCCACCAAAGATCTTTGTAAGAACTCGTTTGGAATGCTGCGTGTAACCAACCAGCAGCTGAATGATGTACTTTATGATCACTCTCATTTATTTCTTACAAAGACAAGATCAAGATCCAAGAATGTGGTAAGCAGCTGATCATCCTCCCTCCCATTTGGTATGCAGAAGAACTACTAACTAACTATATGTGTTTGGGGGGAGATCTTTGTGAACCAAAAATCACATTTTGAAAAAAAAAAACAAAGACCAAAAGCACGTGGGGTTGTTCCTTCTGTCACTGTCTGTGAGTGTCATCCCAAAAAGGAGGGGAGAAAACGAAAAAGAAAAAGAGAGGTTCTCTTCTTTTGCTTTTTCTTTGGGTTTATTATTGTACCGATAAATGTATGTATTTTTGTTATTTTTGTGAAGGTGTTAGATTAGTAGTGTTGTAGAGTAGAATCCATACCAAGTGTAAATAGCGAGTGAGCTTGAGTTTGCAACTTTTCAAACTAATTATGTTATCTATTCTTCCTTTTTTCTTTTGTAAGAACTTGTAGTTACTACTAGACGAGTATCTTTTGGGTAAAGTCACGAGCCCATTTCGACATCTCTTACATATTTATGTTATCTTTTTTTATTTTTATGATGTAGAATTTGCAACAGTTATTTGAAAATACGCACAGGTAAACTCTTGGCACTTTCACCTCTTGCATATTTATGTTATCCATTTTATAATTTTTTTATGACAATCAACAGCAGCTACTTGAAAATACACACCGAAAATTCAGATTAAATTTAATATTCTGCAAATTAGATTCAACAAGATTAATCAAATTAGGCAAAATCATCAAGATTTTGAACCCATAGTCACGAGTTCACCCAGCACCATCCGTCGGCCATGGGTTTTCACATCATAATAATATGTTCTGTGTTATTAACATTATTTTTTATATTATAATAAAATGAGATGGGCCTTTGGTGCTTATTTGTTGGAGAAAGTGGGCCGAAATAGAGATAGAAAAGCCATAAAGGTAAACCCCACTCGGTGCATTCCCTCCAATCAGACGACGAAATCTCGTTGTTGTTGCTGATAATTCATTCTTCATTCGTTCATATTTTCATTCCCTCGCAGAGGAGAAGAGGGAATTGGAATGGGGAAGGATGAGGACGAGATGAGGGGGGAGATTGAGGAGCGGTTGATAAACGAGGAGTACAAGATTTGGAAGAAGAACACGCCCTTTCTCTACGATCTGGTTATCACCCACGCCCTCGAGTGGCCCTCCCTCACCGTCGAGTGGTTGCCCGACCGGGAGGAGCCGCCTGGGAAGGATTATTCCGTGCAGAAGCTCATTCTCGGCACCCACACCTCCGAGAATGAGCCTAATTATCTCATGCTCGCTCAGGTGCAGCTGCCCCTCGAGGATGCCGAGTACGATGCACGCCATTACGATGACGAGCGCTCTGAATTAGGCGGATTTGGTTGTGCCAATGGAAAGGTACCGCTTGCCCCTTCCTCCTTTCCGTTTTGTTTTGTTTTTTTTTTTCAGTATCTGTTAATCGATGTGCATCATCGTAAAATGTGTATTTGAGCAATTTAACTTTTGTGTCATTGATACTCAACTTTATTCAACATCGGAAGAAATTGTATGTACTTCGATTTAGGGTTAGGAATTTTAGAGAGCAGAATTGGGGATTTTTAAGGCCTGTGCTTATTAGGTTTTTGAAGGATATTTCCACATATCTATCACTTTATTTTTGGGCAATATGCATCTGCATATTGGATTGATTCAGTGTTCCTCATGGATTCTATATGGTTTTCTTATTGATGTGTTGCATTGTTTCTATGATTTTGCAGGTGCAAATTGTCCAGCAAATTAACCATGATGGGGAGGTGAACAGGGCTCGTTACATGCCACAAAATAAGTTTCTTGTTGCCACTAAAACAGTCAGTGCAGAAGTTTATCTCTTCGATTACAGCAAGCATCCATCGAAGCCTCCTTTAGACGGTGCGTGCAACCCTGATTTGAGGCTCAGGGGCCACAATTCTGAAGGCTATGGTTTATCTTGGAGTCGATTCAAGGAGGGTCACTTGTTGAGCGGTTCAGACGACGCCCAAATATGTTTGTGGGATATTAATGCCACACCCAAGAATAAGACTCTTGATGCAATGCAGATATTTAAGGTATATATATCTAATTATCTATATAAATGCAAGTTTTAGTTGTGGTTGCGAATTGCGTTCATCATTCGTGCGGGAAGGTTATGCTTGAAATTGTTGTTTTAATGCTTAGTGTAACATTGAACAGATTCATGACGGCGTAGTTGAAGATGTCGCATGGCATCTAAGGCACGAGCACTTGTTCGGTTCGGTTGGAGACGATCAGTATCTACACATATGGGATCTCCGCTCTCCAGCAGTCAAAAAACCCATTCAATCCGTGGCTGCGCATGGCAGCGAGGTGAGTTTAATGATTCCGATTTGATTTCATATTCGACGCTGGAAATTGTTGATGTTGGTTTAGATTTCATTCGTTCCATTGTCTCTATTGCATATTTCAATAGGTAAACTGTTTGGCTTTCAATCCATTCAACGAGTGGGTTGTGGCGACAGGGTCGACTGACAAGACTGTAAAATTATTCGATTTGCGAAAGATTTCTACTGCTCTCCACACCTTACATTGCCACAAGTAACATCCTCTTGCTCTTGCTCTTGTTCTTGATTCTACTCGGGAATTGCCATCCCCTCGGTTTGGCTAATCGTCAGCATTCTTTTACTGCTCAACAGGGAAGATGTTTTCCAGGTCGGGTGGAACCCGAAGAACGAAACTATCTTAGCTTCGTGTTGTCTTGGCCGGAGACTGATGGTTTGGGATCTTAGCCGGTACTGTAAACTTTTTTTATCCGATCCTCGATCCGTTCCACATTGGTCTATCCTTAACCTACAAAAAATAAAAATGCTTGCTAAATGGTTTCGTTTTTTTCTGACAGGATCGACTCCCAACAGACGCCAGAGGATGCTGAAGATGGGCCGCCGGAGCTGCTCTTCATCCACGGCGGGCACACGAGCAAAATCTCGGACTTCTCGTGGAACCCCTGCGAAGATTGGGTCGTTGGTAGCGTGGCCGAGGATAACATACTGCAGATATGGCAGATGGCGGAGCACATCTACCACGAAGACGACGATCTTCCGGCAGCTGCGGCCGCGGATAATTCGACGAAAGGTCCGTAAGTTAAGTTATGGGTAAGAGTGGCGTTTCGTTCTGTTCTGTTCTGTTCTGTTATGTTCGAAGTTAAGATTGAGAATATATAATAGAATGTGTGTTTTGTAGGAACGCCATGATCGATCTCTTGCTCTCTTATCAGTTACATACTTCGTTCATATTCTGTGTAATAAAATGCTAGTAGTAAGAAAATGGATCCGGAGCGCGTGTTTTCACCTCCCTGAAGGCGCGTGAATGGCTTATATCCGTCGCGCGTGCCTTCACTCTCGTAGCGTGCCTTGTGTAAATTCCTCAGACTATTGTGGCCCCGTGAAAATAAATTAAAGAATTTCATTTTCTTTTTTAAGTGTAGACTATAAATTGCTCATTTCGCCGGTTCTTTTACATAAATTTTTTTAATATATATATATTTTTTAAAGTAATATATTTATATTATTTACAAATTTTTGTATATCACATAAAAATATTCTTTTAAACCATAACATAAACTAAACACACCTAATATTTTTTATTTTCAATATAATTTATTATTTTTTTCTAAAAAATAATTATATTTCATAATTTATAATATATATTTTTAATTTTAATTAAATTTATAATTATTTTTATTAATATATTTGTTAATTAATTATTAATTATAACATTTTTATATTTTTATATCTACATTAACATGAACATTTTAGGGAAGCGGGGGATTGAAAGATTGAGCAATTTTATTTGGTTGTATTTGAGTTAGAATTTTATTTTACCATTATATTTTATATTTTGAGGAACGGTTGAATTTGAATTCGAGAACTATAATTCTGATATCATGTAAATGATCGAAATGATTATCTCAATTAATATTTTATGATCATCTACATACATAGGTAAAAGTTACAAATTATCATATGCTATCATTAAAAACAAGATTATGTGCTGATATTTTTTTTTCAGTACCTTACTAAATAGCTATATTTACTTATATGTATTTATATTAATTATATTATCTAATTCTATTAATTAAAAGTAACTAAGTTCTAAATTATAATATGTAAGCACTCAATCCATAATACAATCTTTACTGCTTCATCCATTCTAATATAATAACGTTGTTTATCATTTTTATTCGTCTCAAATTGGGGTGAGCAAAATATTCGAAATCCGAAAATCCAATCCGAACTAAACCGAAATTTAAAAATTGGTTCGAATTTTTCGGATTGAATCGAATTGAATTTTTAACAAATTTCGGATTTTCGAATCGGATCGGATCGGTATACTTAAAATCCAAACTAATATGAAATCCGAAATATAATATTTTAATATATTTTTTATTATATATATTTAATATTTTATTAGAAAATTTTATATTTTAATATAAAAAACTCAAATTTATTAATTATATTTTAATATATTTAATTTTAATATATTATATATATATAATTTTATAAAACAATAATAAAATATAAAAGAATTTAATTTTTTTTAAAAAAATAATAAAATATTTAGAATTTAGAATTTTTCGGTTTGGTTCGGATTTTTTTAGTTCGGATTACGGATTTTCGGATTTCGATTATTTCGGTTCGGTTCGGATTGGTTTTTTCAAAAATTTCGGATTTTCGGATCGGTTCGGATTTGGAATTTGCTCAGCCCTAGTCTCAAAACAATAATTTTATTTCCATAAATCACCATATCACCGTAAAATTATCCATACTTTTTCATTATTACACAATTGCCACTACATTTTACACTAATATACTCACAAGCGCAAAAAAATTATTTATTCTTACTTTTTACCGACTATCGGTATAATTTAATATTTCTTAGATCTCGTGCCAAATACAATAAGACTATACTTTTGGGACGGAAGGAGTATTTTGTTAAAAAAAACATAAATATTTACTTCTTGAAGGAATATTAAATAATATTTATCTTTTTATTAAATTTATGTTTGTTTAAATACTTTTTTTTTATCTATTCTATAATTTATACTTCTTTCGTCTATTTTTTTTTTCTGTTTTACTTTAATCGACATGTTTTTAGTAAAATTTACTAAATTTATATTTAATAAATATAAATCAATTTAATTAACATAATAACAATAATCTTTATTTTTATCTACCTTCTCAATAAACCAATATTTTTATTTATAGTTAAAGCTTATATGTTTTTATAAAATTAGTTTTTGTCTTAATTATAAATTAATAAATATATATTTTTATTTATTTGTATTATTTAAATTTTATTCTCTATAAAATTATATGCATATTGACATATATTTTACTAAACTATAATATTTATTTTAATTATATATACTAAAATTACCAATAATAATTACTCGTATATAAAAAATGTAAAAAAACAATATTATAATTCAATATTATAACTAATTTAACTTTTTACTTGGTATCCTAAATCAAATGAACCGATCGGAGGGAGTACTTCTCTTTTCCAATTCAATATATGTTTTTTTTATTATTTTTGTCGATTTTATTTAAATTCTTTTAAAAAGTAATCACTATATAAATGTAAAAATATTTATTAATTTTTTAAAAATATTTATTTTGTTTATACCCATAAAATTATCAAAATAATTTTACATATTTTTGTAAATTATAATTATATTTTTTTCTAAACATAACAAAGTAATCTTTTTATTATTATTATTTTTTATTCTAAAAGTTAATAACTAAATGAGCCAATATATTTTTTGATTATCTAATACTATATTATTTTTAAAAAAATTATTAATTTTGTGTGGAAAAGCTTGCGTTTTGCGAAAAAATAATAAAAATAAAAGCATCTTCCAACGTTGCGTGAAAATTTGTGGGGAGATGGACAAAAGAATATCCTTTTTATTTATTTATATATTTATTTATTTCTTTTTCGAAATCCATTTTTGAAGTAAAACAAACGAGGCCTTATGACGCAATCGAAACTCTCTACAAATCTGCCCTTGTTTATTTATAGTCTTATCAGTTCTGAAGAATCCGCGCTGTGAATTTCTTCTCGATTTCTCCGTCATCGATCTTTCCACAATCGCTCCCTCTCTCGCGTTCCATCGGTAGCTCAAATCTCGCATTTACCCAACCAGATTTATCGGTAAGCTGCGGCATCGCTTTAATTTATTTGGATTTATATTGGTGGATGATTTTTGGATGGTGAATTAATGAATTGGGAGATGGCGAATGGACTGGAAATGTGTGATCGAAGGTAATGGCGGACATGTGATTAGATGCCGATTTCGTTTCGCATTTAATTTTGCATCTGTTAAAAGTATTTGAAGTTTGTGAATTCGGCAATTGATGTTAGAAATGAAGCCCTCCCCTCTTGAGTGGTTTTTTTTTTTTTTTTTTCAACTGACATATTAATTTTCTTAAATTCGAGCTTCTGTATTTTTTGGTGATTACTTTAACATTTTCATTATCTGTCTGGTAGCGTGATTATTCGCTTGAGGCACGTTGTGCAGACTTTAACATGTTATCCGAATCTGTCGTTGCGTAAAGTATGCCTGTGTCTGTATATATTTTTATATTTCCGCATCTGAATCTCGCTGTGATGCGTTGATATGAGCCAACACTTTGTATTTTGTTTAAAGAAAGTATAAATTCTGCAATGGCTTCATCTCTGTGGATAGCTGCTTCCGCTGGGGTTCAGATTTGGTTTTGATTTGGTTGCAGGGTGGGTTCTTTGACTTGGGTAGATGAGGAACTAGAAACTTGTGAATTTCAATTTTAATTTATTTTTGCACCTAGGATTGAGTTTTGTTCGTTGAATCTGTGATGGGCGTTTAATATTTTCTTTTGAATTTCATCTTTAGGAGAAGCATGATATACTCCTGATCTTTGTTTTCTTGTGAGATTGCATTTCTTGCTTCCATTTGGATGTTGATTTGTATGTTCAAGGAGGTAGAAAAGATAGTCAAGTAGATTGTTGAATCCTGTATTTGGGATGATCATTTGTGTATCATTAGTAGCTGCAATTTTGACATCTTTCAGCGATCTATCATTATCCTTGCGTATGTCTGTGTCTTGCCAATTTTAATGTATTCTGAGGATTCATATTTGAAAAGATATGGTTATGTGAAATTGCCACATTTGTCTTTAATATTCTTCGATCTTGCCTTGTGAGCCCAGATTTTAAACATTTACATTCCCTTATAGTCTTGATTCTTTCGATAAATGAAAATTCTGGTTGTCAATAGGCACCATCAAAATTGCATTTTGCCCCTTATGGTATGACCTTGTTGATGGGTTTGGAATTAATGGTTTATTTGTGTTCTATACTTGTATTCTGAAATCCATCAGTTTGTGCCCACAAGAAAATGAAAAAAGAAACAACACACATTTTGAATAGATCTTGCATTCTCTTAAGTCCTATGAATACTATCCAAGGATTCCTGTAAATAGTGTCTTCTATTTGTTTCGTGTGGTCAAATCTAATGTTGCAATTAACAATAGCTAACTATCAATTCGTGTAATACCGATGATAATAATCACAAATATCATAATTAAAGGTAATCCGTTGACTGCAGGATGAGTGAACCTTTGATTTTGCTTGAAGATAAATCTTTTGGTATTTTTTTAAGTGTGTTTGTTTGGGGGTTTGAATTTTGGTTTGGGATTTGAATAGTCAAAATTTTGAATTTGAATAATGGTATGATGTGATATTAATAGGTATTGATGTGACGTTGTGAATGTAAAATTAATTTTTAATATAAAAAGTGACAAATAGGTGTTTGATTTGATGTTTTTGGAGGAAATTTTTTTTATGAATAGTAGCAATTTTGTAAAGTTTTGTAAACGAACACACCCTTTATGTATCTTTGATGGTTTATACACAAGCCCACCAACTGCTCTCACTGAGATGTGCTTACACTGCAGATTTCTTTTCGAAATGGCGAAAGGGACCAGAGGAAGACGCGGGGTTGCTTCAAGACAGCTTAGGTCAGCACCATATCCAATTCCATCCTCCTACAATGTAACCGAGGTCATGCCACAAAAGGACTGCTCCAAACTCTTGGAGAAGAAAGACTGGGAAGATGCCACTTGCTCTGTGTGCATGGAATGTCCCCACAACGCCGTACTTCTACTGTGCTCCTCGCACGACAAAGGTTGCCGTCCCTACATGTGTGGAACAAGCATCCGCTATTCCAACTGCCTCGATCAGTACAAGAAGGCTTATACGAAGTTAATTTCATCCAACTCCCAGCCACTTCAAGATTCATTCGACAGCCAAATCACGCGTGCGCTGTCATCATCTCATCATTCTTTAGAAAATTGCGAAGCTCTGGAGCTCGCTTGCCCCCTTTGCCGAGGTCAGGTGAAGGGATGGACGGTCGTAGAGCCTGCGCGGGATTATCTCAACGGGAAGAAACGCACATGCATGCAAGATAACTGCTTGTTCATCGGAACATACAGAGAACTGCGGAAGCATGTCAAGGCAGAGCACCCGTCTGCCAAGCCGCGTCAAGTGGACCCCACTCTGGAACAGAAGTGGAGAAGGATGGAGCGAGAGCGGGAAAGGGACGACGTGATCAGTACTATAAGGTCATCCATGCCTGGGGCTGTGGTCTTTGGCGATTACGTGATAGAAGGAAGCCCGTTCGATATTAATTCGGAGGACGAGGATGGTTTCGACGCAGATGCCATTGCGCGAAATGAGGGCATTGAGGTAAGTGCTGGCCGGGATTTAATGTCCGTGTTTGTGTTTCTTCAGGCATTTGGTTCTGCTGGTAATGTAATACCCCATAGAGGCGTTAACCATAACTCTGAACAAGAAAACAGCGAGGATGAGGATGGGAATGGAGATGGAGATGGCCATGTTCATCGAGGTAGGGTTGTTTTGGGGCGGTCCGGGAGGAGAAGGCTTCCAGATTCAAGGTAGGATGTCTCGATATCGAATGAATATAAATGTTGTTATTGTTGTTTATATATTATGTGCATGTACATGTATGTATTATACTTTCACACATTATTTAGTTGGCTGATCATGATTAGCATTTTAAGGACAGGCTAGAATCCATTGATGGTCAAGCAAACTTGCTTCATGTAGCTTTCTAGTTTGTGTAATTGCTGATTTATTCATTCTGGAGGCTGTTTTATTGACATATATGCATGATCAATCTGGTCTTTTTTTTTATCTGAAGTTGAATATATCTATCATCTATATATCTTTATTAGGTCCAAAAATGAACATTAATGGATATCTGTATAATATTATAGCTGATAATGGATCGATTCGTGTCGAATTGAATACATTAAATGAGTTAAATCATTCAATCATAACCCGATCTATTTTCGCGTTGATCCGTTTATTATCATGTCAAACTCATAGGTCGAAATTCTTTATCCAAAATTCATTGTTTTTTTTTGTAAAATAGTGACTTATGTAATATTTAAGATTTGACTTAATATTAATATATTGACTAATTATTCAATTAGAATTATTTTATATATATAATAAATATATTAATTAATATTAATATATTATGATCATATTGTCATGTCCTAACCCATTTATTTTGTATCACTTCGGCTACATAATCAAATCAAAATCCTTAGACCAAACACAATCGTGTCAATTTTTGTCTAACTCTATATAATATGCATATGATGTAGTCTGTTATACTTGCCTTAGCTACTCAACCAAGAAATGATCATAAACAGAAATGCCAATTCTCAAGAAACAGGTGTTTTCAATCTTCCAAGTAAAGAATTCATCACATTAAAATGGGGACTACCATACCATTACATGTGGGAATGAATGTCTGGTGTGGTGTGTGAATGTGTGCCGTCGTCGCCCAGACAGAAAAAATGTAGTCATTTTTCAGGTCCATGTCTTGGGGGAACTAAGATTCCATCTTGACAGTTTAGTTATAACACAAATCAAGTATAATTGCCAAACCTACTCTTGTGTCTGTGTCATGATGACGATCCCGTGAGTTCCGCTTTCTTATCCTCCAAAAGCTTCAACTCGTTGCACCAACCTTCTAGCTTTGCTACCTTTTCCAATTGTTCTGCCTTCATGTCTTTCTCTGCAGTTTTTTGTTGCTGCGCTTCTGTCTGCCGAATCTGGTAAAAAATCGAATGCACCAATGACATTATTCGATATCATCTTAACAACTCTTGTAATATTGCAACTATCTCATAAATTGTATGCCTTAGATGGGAATTAGAATTGGAAACAAAAATGACCTTATATATACTGTCCACTCAAGTTAGGAGGTTCTCATGAGTCTCAAATTTGGTTCCTTTTGCTTCTTAAAAAGCATTCGAGACTATGTATGATATAATTTCATGCAAATCTTGATTCAGGTTCTTCCATACCTTCTCAAAATATACTTCAAATTAATATATACATTCCTTATAATTAATATTACCCTTTACAAAGCATCATTATACCACCAAATCAAATTGTAGTTTCCCGAAAAAAATATATCTTTTTCTTTCACAAAAATCTCATCATACATTATTTTAATATCAAACACAAACCAAAATTTTCCAAACCAAATCAAAAGAAATTTGCAGGGATAAATTGATGTCAAATAATAAAAACTCCCAACACCTGAAAAGCACAAATAACAACATATTTTCCAGCTCAAAGGTTACAAACAGGAATAAGGACACAGCTCGGAGTTTCAAACAGATATGATATTGTGGGCGGAGCAATGGATGGATCCAGAATGCGTGAACTCCTAAAAAGTTGGCCAATATAGTAATGCAATAAATATTTTAAAACACTACATTAGAAATGTTCTATAAAAAGGTGAATAAACATTTACCTTCTTTTTCAGGGCTCGAATCTTCTTATCAATAACTTGAATTTGATCCTCTGGTGTTGAACCCTCAGTTGAAGTTGTAGGAGGTGTAACCGAAGAGTCATTCCCAGAAAGTGAGAGTCCATCTATTTTCGAAGAAACCGACTCTACATTCTCCGGCCATTCATTTGAATCCCCAGCAGACAACATATCATTTTCTTCAAAACTCTTGCCTTTCTCGACAGCAGCCTGAAACAAATCATATTCCTACAAGTTACTCTAATCCTCAAAGTGCAAGCACAGTAAGTAAAAATGTTCATCCCATCCTATCGAAGACTCTTCACATTGCATTCAAGAACCATACAAATAATAAAAATGATATACATCCTTCAAACATCCAATCTCATCCTGCCCACATCCTAGAGATTGGATTCGCATTTTTCGACTGGGTTTAGGATTACTTTGCAAATCTCTACTAATACGTCATCATGGTTACCAAGAAAAATGCTTAATTCCACACAAAGGGCACTTTACAAAACACAATAGTGTATGCCCTAAAAAGGGATTTGCAAGCACAAATTACAGCAACCTCTTAATTTCTTACACACATAATAGGGCAATAATCTGATATTCCTTAGGGTTTCAATCTATAACTTATGTATGGAAACAAGTTGAAGATTAGGGATTAAGCAAGAAATCAATACAAGTTGAAGATTAGGGATTAACCTGCTGGCGCTTTTCCTTCTTCCTCTCATTCCTCTTAGCCGATTTCGATTTTGGTTTTGTTTCCACATCTGGTTCATACCCCGGCGGAGCCTCATGCGACGCCGACATCTCCTTCTTCCACTGCGCCGCCGCCACAATTCCCAACACCAATTAATTACGAAACGAAACTCACAACAAAGCAATTCAAAATTCAGCTTACAATTGCGCCTCTCGATTGGTATATAGCCACTTCGTCTTGAGGAACGTAACCCGCCCGAATCCGAATAGGCTTGCGGAGGGTACCGTCGGGCCGCCGAGTCGGCGCGAGGATCCTCTCCCCTTCTTTTAGGGTTTTGCCGAGCTCAGCCGCCGACTCCGTCGCATCCCCCGCACTTCCATTACCATTACCGCTACTGGCCATTGGCCTGAATGCAAAAACTCGAAGGAGTAGCCCTGAATCGCGCGACTAACAGAGAATTTGTGTAGAAGCGGAGAAATCGAGTGCGCAGGCAACGGAAGAGTAGACGACAGAAGAGAAGAGCGTCGTTATTTACTCGCAACTGAACTTATTAGTTAGACTTTAACAACTGCTGTGACCTTTTTTCAGTTTATTTGGGCCTATTGTTAGTTCTCTTTTAAGCCCAATTACTAAAATGGCCCAATAATATCTGGACTTTATTTAATTGATTTGGGCCCATTGTAAGATCATTGTAAGCCCAATTACTAAAAAGCCCCAATAGGATTGTAAATAAATTAAATAAATATTCGGTTTGAAATTTTGATACTAATATTAGAAATTTTCTGATTCGAATTCGAATTAAGATATTCGATTCGATTCAAATATGAGTCAAATACAAATATAAAATTTTAAAATGTGATTTGATGTTGATTATTTAATAAAATATATAAACATAGTTTTTCATAAAGGAGAAAAATATAATATAAAAAAAAACATTAAAAAGAAGTACGAAAACTCAAGGACAAACATATTTCTGTTGACAGTATTTTTATATATATAAAATATAAAAATAAAAAAAATAATATTGAATATTGAATGTTAATTTTTATAAAAAAAATCGTTAAAAAAATTATAAGCAAACAAACCTTTTTCCTTATGTTTCTCTTTCTTTCGGCAATTTTATTGAGATGATAGCATACTAATACGAACTCAAAAAAGTCAAGACAGCTAAGCAAACCTGCGTTGATGTTTACGTCCCACATCGGTTTCAGTATCACATAGAGGCAGTGCTGTGTACTATTTAATGGGCGACCCATACAGTGCAAAACTCATACCTTTCTCGGCCTTTTGGCTAAGATCAAGTGTAGTATCTGTTCTTATCAGTTTAATATCTGATACGTGGGCCAATGGCCCACATGATATTAAATCTATTTTTCTAGGGGTAAAGCCCACAAGGCAGCTTGCTGTCTGGGTTTTTGCGTGTCGCCCTAACGTTGCACTACAGTTTGGGCCTGGCACACCCCACCAATTATTAGTCTTTATAATTTTTCCAGTTTTGGGATAATTATGTGTTTACTTAATTTTTTATATTAATCATTTAAATTAAGTTAATTTTCCACAAAATATTTAAGGAATGAGATAGTATTTATTTATCAATTTTTTATATTTTTTTTGTTCTACATAAATTTTTTATATTTTTTTATTTGGGTTCGTACAATAAAATTTTTTTATTTATTTTAAAAAATAATTATATATTTTACTTTATTTAAAACTTTAAAATTTTTAATATTAATTAAATTAATTAATTATCCAATTTAAATGTATAATTATTTGTATTAACATAATAATTATTTTTACTAGTATAATTTTTTTAATATGATATGATACTTAATCTCACATGTGAGATGGGCAACTTATATGTCGATAGCATATATATATATATATAAGACTTGTACGCAAATTAAACGCTTAAAACGTACACTATTACACCAAACGTGTAAAGTAAAACAACTATTTATCACACAATCTCCACTATTATTATTATTATTATTATTATTTTTATTATTAGCATTACCTGCAGGCACAAGAAGCAGCCATGGCTACCTCGCTCCTCCTCTCCCCCACCGCTGCCGGAAAATTACAAGAGATCAATCAGGCGCCTCCAGCAGCGGCAACGCTTCGGACGGCGAAGGACGCCGGAGTTCTCCGGAAGTCGAGAAACAAGGAGAGATCGAACTGGAGGATCGCCGCTTTCGTGGTGGAGGATCCAGCTGGAGTAGCAGTTAAAAATGCCAAGGCGGTGGAGCGGAAGCTGCGGCGGAATACAATCAGCCGCGGATTTAGCTTCTCCGCGGCGGCGCTGCTCTTCCCATACCATACCGGAGTCGCTCAGTTTCTGATTGAGAAGGATTACATAAATGTAACACATACGAAGCTGCTCATCAAATTAATGTTCACAAATTCACAATCGAATTTACTTTGAAATTCTCCTTCGTGAATTCAATCAATGAGCAGGAAAGAGTACCGCTGGCAGGATCTTCGGCAGGTGCAATTACAAGCGCAGCAATAGCTTCTGGAATAAGCATGGAGGAGGGGCTGAGAGCTGCGAAGAAATTGGCGGAAGATTGCAGGCTGCACGGTACACTGTTTCGCCTCGCTGTATGTACTACTACTGTTCATCGATCAATTTCATTATCGAACACTGCTGCACATACTCACGAGTTATTATCTATCATCAATCATCAATTTCACATCTACAATCTAGAAACTTCTGCAGGCCGTTCTTCGAGACACTCTGCATCGAATCCTGCCGAACGATGCTCACATACGGTGCAGCGGAAGAGTTCGTGGTACTCATATCTACACCTTAATTTCCATTTGCACTTAACTGTTCATCAATATCCAAATCGATGAAACATATGGTCTGGTGCTTGATTGATGTGATGTAATGTAATTCAGTTGCTATAACACAAATCCATAATTTCATTCCGAATGCTTTGCTGGTGGACCAATTCGAGTCCAAGGAGGATCTGATCAACGCATTGCTGGCTTCCTCATTCATTCCAGGGTATGTGCAAAAACACGACATATCAGTTTCATCATCCATTTTATCAAAACAAGCTAAGCTACTGACTATGAACGAATGTGGTGATAATGCAGGTATCTTTCGCCAATGCCGGCGACAGTGTTCCGCAACCATCTGTGCATCGACGGAATCTTCACACATTTCATACCCCCAACCTCTGCCCCTCAAACGGTAATGGTGAATCTGCACTATATATAAACTAGATAGTAAATTAAAGAAGAACAATAACAATGGCATTGAATTGAATTTAATTGAACTGAATCAAATTTGGTTTGTGGATAATATGCAGATAGGTGTTTCTGCCATTCCAGGATTGATGGGGCTGCAAGATATTCGGTTCATCAGCCCTGATTGTAACCCTCCACACAGGGCAAATCTTTTCCAAGTTAGTTACAATTACTTTCCTATTCTATATAGTATCTATATACATGATTTCTTTATACTATTCTTACTATTCATTTTAACTCATTTGACACTGACTAGAATGCTCTTGCTTTTTGAAAGATTTTAAAAAATAAGTTAGAATAATAATTAGGGATAATTTGAAAAGGTATGAATAATTTTGTTACAAAGTGGGGACCATAATTACTAAATAAAAAACAAGATAATTATTTTGGAACATACGAAAATAGAAAAATAAGACAATTTTTTTTGGGACAGAGGAAGTATTTTTTTTCAACCCTCTAAAATTCCAAAATCTTCAAAAATTTCTATCTAAACAAATATTTAATTTTCTTGGCCATAAGTAACTAGTAGTAGTAGTAGTAGTAGTATAATAGAATAGTGTTAAATCCAATTTGGGTTGGGTGGGTACCTGCAGTATTTGAATTGGGCATGTTGGCCAGCAGAAGAGGGTGTTCTTGAGAGGCTGTTTGAGTGTGGATACTTGGATGCAAAAGTTTGGGATCATCAAATAACATCATCAACACTACTTCATTCTTGAAGTTATGTATTTGGAGATTGGCTTAAGAATATGTGGACAGAAATGGGAATCCATTAAAATGCTGAATTTGGAATGGGACTTTGTCCCACATCGGTTTCTGTACACGTAAAGGCAGTGGTGTGTGCTATAAATTGGGCTACCCCTGCAATGTAAAACTCATACCTTTCTCGGCCTTTTGGCTAAGATCAAGTGTAGTATCTGTTCTTATCAGTTTAATATCTGATACGTGGGCCATCGGCCCACATGATATTAAATTTATTTTTCTAGGGGGAAAGCCCAATAAAGTAGCTTGCTGCTTGGGCTTTCGAGTGTCGTCTGAACGTTGCACTACAGTTTGGGCCTGGCACACCCCATCAAATATTAGTTTCATATTTTCTTAAAATAGATTTTTGCTTTTTTGGTTTTCTTTTGATTTGGCCCGATGGGCTACCTTTTCTGCTGGTTGATGATTATGTATATAATATATATATATGTGTTATGTTGAAAAACCAAGAACAAAGATACATTGAGTTCATAAATTTGTTACATAATGAAGTGCACCTAACTTAATTAAATACTTAATTCTTGGATGATTATCCAGTCCATACTTCATTCCTATATATAAATATATATTATATTATTGTCAGATTGTAGCAACTTACTAGAATAATATAATTATTTTAATGGAGTGTGTGTTAGTTAAGAGTATAATGCTATAGGAAGATAAGTAGACGACATTAAACACCAAATCAAACCAACCAGAAAGAACATCAACATGATTTATGATAATCATCATCTTTCTCATCTGCAATAAATGCAAATTGTACAGTTTTGTTTGTTCATGTCATTCCCTTTGGGAAAGATGAGTGAGTGAGTGAGTGAGTGAATTACATCATGTCAAATGAAATCAGTGAGTGAGTGAGTGTCTTCAGGCCACCACCTTTCGGCCTCGACCTCTTTAAAATTCTTCCATGTACAGTTAGTAATATTTCTTTATCTTGTTTCTGAGGGAGGAGAAGGTCCCTCAATCTCTCTCTCTCTCTCTGTGCACTTCAAAGTCTCAACAGCTTCGGATCGGATCGGATAGGATAGGAGCCACCATATCAATACAGCAGCCAGCAGGAGGTTAAATGAGGAGGAAAGGAACAACCACTGCTGCAACTCCAATTAACATGTTGTTCACCCATCCAATTCTTCCATTACCTGCACAATATATATATCTTGTTACTCTACTACTACTAATCAAATTCAAATCATATAATAATAAAAGGAAACGGGAGCAACCGAGCCAGCACCTCAAACAACAAACTACTACATGCTCCTCGCACCAATCAATCGCCACAAAAGTATTTCACAAACTGAATGGGGAAGGTGAAGGAAACCAAATACTCTATGGATACTGTCGGTGTCAGAGGGAGGAGGAGGGACTAGGGACTCAAAATCTTATTTGTCGTCCGTCCAAAAGCAAAACAAACAAAACATCACCTATAAGTTTTGATCCGATTATGCTACTATCAGGACACATCACCCATCCCTTAAACATGCACGCCAAAAGTTAATTCAAATATTCCAGGCCCCAATATAACTTTAAACCAGCACTTTAAAGAACACAAAAGATCCACCAAATTTCAACCAGGCAGGCACAAAATATATGGATATTTGCAGGAATAATAACTTACACGATCTGGATGATGAAATTGACGGCAAAACATGATTCCGAGAGACCAAATATTTCCTGCTCCTTTCTTGACCCCATGAATCGTATGTTGCACCAGGTAATGGAGGAGGAATTGGCAAGATCTCATGTGTCAAACCTGCTGGAGGCAATCTTGGTGGATCACTGGACCCGCAATGTCGGCTGTTATGAGCTACTGAGGACTTTGGCAGATTACCTATCGGAGGGGATGAATGGTGGGGTTGATTTTGTGGACTAGGTGAAGAGGGCAGAGGAGACGGGCTACAACCACCGATTTGCTCTGGGGATGGAGCCGGAGATGGTGATGGAGTCGGGCTTGGTGAATGAAGTGAATGCTTTAGATATGACGACAACCTAATTCCCTTAACTTTACCGAACACATAATGATCAAGTCCAAGATTTCTTGCAGGGCCAGTAAGGATATGAGCTAATTGTTTCAGTCTCTCCTGTGAAAGGAATCCCAGATCCGAAACAACTGAAGCTTCCACAGAAACGGGAGCATCTATGGTCGACCCAATTTTGTTTGTTACCTTTATGTACACTCCCTGTTCCAGAAGTAATTAATAAGAAAACTAGAAAATGTTAATTTAAAGAGAAGACTTTAGTGAGCAGTGAATGGATAACATTTCGGTGTCACTCAAAAACATCAAACAATAGGAATTTACAAATTAAAAGACTAGGAAATTTCAACAGTGAAATGTTAGATATTCCGGTTAAATACATTTGTAAAAGTTCTTATCCAGCAAATTAAGTCATCAAGTCATCATGATGCTGATTTGACCGGATCAATATATCCTATATGATTGACCAACATATGTACATACATATCTCAACATATGTTGTATTATAAGATAACATATGTTGAGTTATAATATAATATATGTTATATTATAAATATGCTAAAATGTGTAAATATATGTTGGTCACCCACGTAGCATATGCTGATCCTGTGCACGAAGCTGACTCGACCAAATCAGCGGCTGATCCATGCCCAAGAATTAAAAAAAGTGAAACAATGATGTATCAGCGAACAATTTTAACCAGATTTTGAAGAGAAAAGGATGACGATTGTGTAACCTCATAAAACAACCACTATATAAAATAACATTAATAAAGAAATTCATCATGTATACTTCCGGGCTTATGGCAAGAATACACTACAATACAAAAGATTTTTTACCTCATTGGGCATTAGGTGCAGTCCCAATTTCAGCTGTTTTTTCAGATCCTGAAGGTTTTTCCTTATGTCATAAATAGAGCTATTGAGCGTAAAACGAAAAAGAACAGGGTGTGTCTGCAAGATCACAGCAGCTTGTTCGGGTATTATAGTGACCCCGTCAGGAAATTTCAAAATCTGAAATGTAGAAGGGTCTCCAAAAAATGAGTAATCCACTGTCAAGTTAACTTGTCGAAGGAATAGATCTATTAAGGACAACTTCAGCAGACTTAAGGGCACCGGGTCTATTTCACTATTATATGAGTTAGGAAGAAAGCCGAAAACTACGTCTGTCCACTTAGACTTCCCTTCTGGGCGCATAGACAGGACGGCAACCTGTCAAGAAAAGTGATCAACTTCTTACTCCTCTGTAAATCAAAACTAAAAAAAAATTCAAGTACTGTAAATAATGGAATGTGGACAGACCTTAGAGGAAGGGACACCTAATTCTCCATTGAGATCATATTCTAGTCGTTTAATGTATGGAATAAGCTCTGAAACTGGTTTGTTGAGTCGGAAGTATGCTTGAACCGTTGCTGAGAAAGAACAAGAATACAAAAATCATGGATTTAATTATACACACACAGAAACACGCATCGATAAATACATACATATCCGATTTTTCAGTTCTACAGATTTCATAAACACAGCCGATTGTTTAAGCAAAAAGGGACGGACAGATGGCATGGACTTTTCAACAGGTAACTTTAGGTGGCACTTTGAGTAAAAATCCATCACAATAATCAAACTAAAATAAACAAATAAACAAGTGTCGAACAATGAGAAGATGAATACGATGTTTAGATAATGAGCTCAAATCACTGAAGCTTCAGCTTAGATTAACTCTGAGACAGAGAAAGATCATCGAAATTCAAAGTAAGCAACTGCTAACCATAGGCCAATTTTTTTTTTTAAGCTTTCACCATCAATCTATATCTACGTAACTTACTATGGAGTATGGAACAATCCTGGAATATTTTAAACATAAAGTAAATTAAATCTGTTCCAATTCAAATTGCAAAAACATCTCATAATTTCATTATCGTTCTGAGCAATATCATATGATCAAAAATTGCTCAAGAAATTTATTGTAAGGATTACAGAGAGTTAAACATGAAATTGGCTCCGCCGATCGGGGGAAAGGTTAACAGTGAATCAAAGCATGTAAAATCACAAGAAAAAAGACAATTGAAGAAATCATAAACGGACGAATAACAAGGATGAGTGATGAACAGCCACTTCATAAGCCCTAACTACGAGACCACAGAACACCATAATCCCCCCGAAATGGAAATCACAATCAAATCAATTAAAAACAAATATCGAACAAAACAACTAGTTTACCGCTGTGCTTGACTGATTCCTTGGCTTCGAACCCTAGGTGCCGATACCGGATTGGAAGAGCCCAAACCAAAGCCAAAACAAAAGCAGCGTAGCTGAGCATCAAAACGGCGGCGCACTTTAAGGAGATGAAGCGAGAAACATCCACCGAACATCTCCGGCCGGCGGATGTTCCCGGATTCTGCTGCTGCACAACTGGCAGTGGCTGATCATCGACTTTCCCCATTCCGACCACAGCATCTGGTTCGAACAAGAAGGAATTTATCCGATTTTCTAGAAATTGTGGGCAGTCATGTGAAAAGATGAATTGATCGACAGAGGACTTCAATCAATTTGCTCTCAGTTTGGATTCCCCAAAGGCCATGGACGAAGTAGAAATGTGCGCCTCGCCACTTTAAGCGCACTTTAGAGTGGAGCCCTTCGATCCTCTTCTCTTGCACAAATATTTTGGGGAGAATTTTAAAACCGGATAATTCTGGGGCGAATTGTGCATTTTGCGACTTATTTGGGCAAATTAGATTTAACATTATTTCTTGTATATAGAAGAAAAGGGTAATATACAAATCTACTTTTAACATAAATGAGCAAATATATATATATAATTTTATTTTTATAATAAACAAGTGTTGATATAATATTTCGAATGTAATTTAATTTTTAATATAATATAATATAAATAATAAATAATAAACAATAAATTTTATGTTTAAGTTTAAACTTACAAAAATAATTAAATAGTTGAAAATTTGTGGAAAAAGAACACATTTAGTTAGAGTTTGAGTTTTAACCTAATATAAAATTTTAAAGTAGAATAATTATTTAATTTATAAATATTTGTTGATGTCATATCTTAAAAATAAAATCAAATTTTAATATAATATAAAAATAAAAAATATATACTTATTTGACTTGATTTTTTTAAATAACAAATTTAGAAAAACATTTTTTTTTTTTAATGTTTAAAACATATACTATTAACCTATTATACACCCTTCAATAAAGTTTGTAATATACATTGTGCTCGAAGGATAATATATAGGGTAAATAAAGGGTTATGACTCATTAATTATTGTAAGAATCAATAAATATATTTAATTTAAAAATTATTGGTACCCAACGTGGTGGAGAAGTAAAGGTGAAATAGAAAGGTTGATTGCACATATTGTGGGCATAATTAATACTACAAAAACAAAGGAAAAAGGTCACAAGTGAAATTCAAATTTTCAAATTTAAAATGCGCCTAACAATGTCAACTTTCTCTTCACCTGCTTCATCTTCTTCCCTATATTTATTTATTTATTTTTTTGGGTGAAAATGATCTACTTAAAGTTCATATGGATACAGTCCAAAAGTAAAAGACCCTCTTATGGGCCATTTTTTTGTCAATTCTGCAAGCCATCGGTTCAACTTTAAAGCAACCATTTTCAATAAAAATATTATCTGAAAACAACAATATAAAGACTAAAAATTTAAACAGATACATACATACATACATATATATTATTATTATTTCAAATTTCTAATGCAGATTCAAGTTGTGGTTGGGGCCCTATCTATATTATAGCCACAAATGAATGTACAAAGCTTTACACAACAAATTACAAGGAACGTATGTAACAGTGAGGCAAACAAGTGTGCACTATAGTGTCGTGTTTGTTACTAACTATGTTTTAAGTAGCAGACGACTAACGATCGCGGGGAAATATTTTTTCAAGAAATGAAATGAAGCGTTTCGAATAAGCCTTAGGTTCCACCACAGAGATCGATAGGGGGTCGAATTTTAGGGACTTAAAACGGTGCTCTAATTTCTTTTTCACGTTGTATTCTTGCAGTATATCAATAATGCCGAGGTATAGGACAACATCGTATACCTCAAAAAGCTCGATTTCTGCCGAGGCTGTCTCCGTCTGCACGAGCTTGTGGTTCGCCTGGGCCGGCATGTTCACTCCTAGCTGCACCCTCAACCTGGATAACATGTACCCCATAGTTAGCCGTATCGATCTTTTTTTCCTTTTTCTACGTATATGAAAGCAATATTTCACCTTCCAGTTCCGGGCAGAAGAAGGTCGACTTCCTTGTTCCCAATAGAGTGTGCTTTCAAAGTGCTTCCTCGTATGTGCGGACCGGGAGCATGGCTGACAGATTCGGGCTCGTGGGTTACCAAGACCAAACCTTGTGGAGGAATTGAAAGTTCCCCCGATATCGAACCTTGAAGAAGGGCGGGGGCGGGGGCGGGACATCAATCAGTTTCAGACATTGTTAACAATGCAGTAAGAAGTGATACTTACCATCTGCAGCCGGGCTAGTGCTACCGGACTTGTCCAGGGAATCTTGAGACTCCAAGAATGATTTTAGATGCTCGGGAGCTCTGAAATGCAGGCCTAGGAGAAGGCTATAATCGATGATTTGCTGAGATTCTAAGAATGCGCTGTCGAGCGATAGTTGTCTGCAACAAAACATGGCGGAAAGTTGGTGTTTATATATACTAACAAGAATGAACAATTTAAAAGAATGTTGAGTAGATTCAGAGATTACGGCATAAATGCATTATACAATAAAAAGCTAATGTACATCTCCACACAAATAGCAAACAACTTACCGGGGTTGGACAAAAGACGAAAAATTAGCCACAATATAACTAATACATTTGCAATTTTCTAACAAAAGTTACATCAAACTTCGATGATGGTGTGTTTAACGTCTTTATTGCTATTGCAGGGAGCATGGCTACCTCAAACTGTTGTAATTATGAGAGGATGGAGACCCTTTCGACTTGATACGTGGGATTATCACTTATTATATCACAATATTTGAGAACTTATACCTTACAAGTTTTATGCCTCAGAAAAATCCTAATAATCTAGTGTCTATCCTTTATAAGTAAGTCTTCTCAAAAAAATTCATTTATGTAATGCTAATCTATACATGCTTATGAAATTGAATAAATTAGCTTTACAGAGTATTGTCAAAGTAAGTTACCGAAAAAGCGATTCGCGCAATGATTTGTCCATATGGAACTCATATGCCAAATCAAGATCTTTCAGTGTTGTACTCTCATCAATATCATCCTTATTCGTGCATCTACCATGCGTTGAACCTTTCAAATCATAACGTCGATGTATGCGCAATTCAGTGCAGAACATGTTTCCCATGACCACAAAGCGGATCTGCAAATAACAAAACAAGATTACTGGCCTAATCATACAATTTCCTCACTTTTTGTATACTTTCGTATAAACCTTGCAACTTTCCAAAAGAAAAATTAACTACTTGCATACAGAAAGTAACTTGTAGCTATGGAAGATTGTGTGTAACCTTTTTCCCGTGTTTCAAACTTATTCTGTGTGCCCCAAAGAATTTTGTTATAAGAGTGTTATCATGTGCTTTTACATGAATGTAATACTTGGGTAACATCTTTAGTAGCACCTGCAAATCAACAAGGGGAAAATAATTGGTAATAGGTTCCATGTAGAGATGTTTTAGGAAGCAATGGCGAGCCAACAACATTCTATACAACTATAAGTATATTAAAGAATATGGCTGACTACATATGAACTGTTCGTTGATATGCATGATGGAACAGAATCTGGTGATTTTCCAATAGACTTGAGGGAGACCTAGAGATAATTAAAGATTTGAAGCAACTTTCAAAATATAGATTCCACCTTATTGAAATCTATCCAGTTTCGCCCAATTATTAGGAAGAATAATATATGATTACCTACAATGTATATACTGGTGTCTGTGGCATCAAGTAAACATATATTATATTGCTTCAATTGAGTATTTCTATCAGTTAGAATTTGAGTTCATTGGTCTCCCTCCCCTCCTTAATACAATGCATGGCATGTTCTTTAAAAATGGATATGTGCACTCACTTCATGTCCATTAGATTGTGTGTTGAAGTGATGAAAGAAAGCATTAAACAGAAGATCAAACAGCATAGCAAGCAAAAATGCAATTCTTCAAACCTTTAGTTCAGATTTTTTCAATGTCTTAATCACAAATCTGTCATCTTGAGAAAGATAGAAAAGGCTCCCGCTTTTTCCTGGAGAACTAAGTTCTCTCAGACCTTCATCACCACATATGGACATCATGTAGTCGGCAGCATTTAGCTTGAACAGCTCTCTCAGATTCCTTGAAATAAAACCACAAACAGAAATTTACTGTTTGAAAGGCCATTCAACAATTGTACAATATACACAGACATTCATAGAATTGTAGACAAAATAACATTCTGAGAGTAGGCGAAAAAGATAACAGAGAAGTGTTTTTGGACACAAAAATAAAATGTGGAAAAAGAAAGAACTAATCACAGAGGCCTGTGAATAGATGGAGAAAGCAAAAAAGCAGATGATCATTTTAATAATAACTATATTTCAAGCTCCTTGTACTAGGAATATGAAGATTAAAGTCCAGAGGGTGATTATCAAATGATTTACCAACTTCTTCAGAAACAAATAAAACCAAATAAATGACAGGGCATCAAAATAGATATTTACATTCCAACATTCAATTGACGTTAGAAATAAAGTATCTTAAGCCTAATGTTAAGAGAAATTGAATGAAGGGTCAGATAAGTTGTGAGTAGGGTAGGGTATCATGCCACTTTTATCCAATTTAGATATTAAACTACATAGTGCTTTGGCAATCAGATAAAGTTACACCTGTTTTCTACCTGATAGATCCATTATTAACTATATCTTTCAAGCATGCAAAACATCATGTCATTCAATTCAACTCAGATGAGCTAGACACTGTTTCTTTGTGATACAAAAGATTCTTTGTGGCATGACAGCATTCATATTAATAATGAACGTTCTGCCATCTAAGACTGCAAACTCCTGTTCTGATTAGTTCAAATGCATACAAATATTCTAAGATGGCAACCAGTGATTGTATGTGCAATCCATTTTAAGTTGCAAAAGTATATTGATCTAAAAGGCATAATATTTTGGTTGATTACACACTGCCTAAATAAAAGCTTTCAACTTCCATTTCCTTCTTTTTTCCAGGAAATATATGCATAAATGTCTATTGAATTTTCAAACCAAGCAAAACTAATTTACAGCAATGTGCAACTCCCATAATTGTATAATTGTATCAAGGACATCACAAATGAGAGGGCGCCATTTTCAGAGAGATTTGCAGAAGAAAACTAAAACAAAGCTTGAAGTCATTTTAAGCTATTTGTGTTCAAAATTCTAAAAAGCAATCAGTGAATATTCAATTCAGAGGTGTGATAATCTAAAAATACGCTCTTGGCGATATAAGTACACAAGAAAAAAGAAAAAATAATTCTCATGATCTCTAATATATAGCAAAAAGTAACAGATCATATTCAGAAAGGAAAACAAACTTTTCAACTATATGTACAAGACAGAATTTAACAAAGTGGTACCTGAAGACCATTGGGCAGTAATCTTTCCAGTAAAAGTTAATCGATTTATGCGGAGGAGTTAACTTGGAGCCTTTTCTTGGGAAATACATTCTAATTCTAGCTTGACTTCCAAAATCAGATGATCTAACTTCACGCATAGGTACAGGTGTAATCTTGCCAACAGTATACCTGTCAATTTCACAAGAGAAGCTTGAATTTAATTCACCAGTCGACCATGAAAAAATAAGTATAAAACAAGACTTGCGACGCGTGAACTTGTGTAAGAGTCCCATTTTGCATTACCTGATACCTAGTTGCAAGCTCAGCATCAGATAGTAGCTTCTTTGGCCTTTGAAAATGTCTCCAAACGAACTCCTTTTAACTTCTTTTGCAAATTTTAGTCGCTGTTTAGTTCTGTGAGATGATTTTGAAACATTTCTAATCCTTTCTTTAATAAGAACTCCCTGCATGTATTCTCTTTCATAAGCTAAAGCCTGATTATCTGGACAATCAATTTGGCCATCATAAGAATCATGAGAAGTAACACAGGATTCATCAACTATATTAGTGCAGCCCCGTTCATCATCTAACAATGTTGTTTTGTCTGAGAATTTCCGAGAATTCCTCAGAAATCTAGACGAAATTTTATCAGAAAAACTGCGCTTCACACTGGGCGTTTCTTGTTCTTCAGATCCTGCAGATAAACTACGAGATGGCTCCTTTTTCCTCTTCTCTTCATTTCCTTGAAGATTGCATCCAGCAGGATAGAATGTTCCAAGACCATCCTTTAGTCCCTTACTCCATGTTCCAGAGTAGTAGCTTCCATCTGCAAATCTGTAGATACCTGACCCATTTCTCAACCCATTTGACCAAAATCCATCAAAAAGACTTCCATCAACCCACTTCATAACCCCTCTTCCAGACATAGTCCCATTTTTCCAATTTCCAATATACATGTTACCATTACTCCACACATACCGACCACTGCCTTCACGTATTGCCTCTTTCCAACAACCCTCATAAACATCTGAATTTGGATACTGCTTCCTTCCAATTCCATGTGGGGAGTTCATATTTAAAGAACCTACATAGATGGAACTGTCGCAACCAAGAAAAGTTCCAAAACCATGAATGTAACCCCCCGAAAAATCACCCTCATATTTAGCCTGTGATGGCCAGAAAATCTTACCTTTACCAGTCATTTTCCCGCCTTCCCAGTCACCTTCATAAACTGTCCCATCGGACCACAAATATTTACCTTTTCCATGAGGAAGCATTCCCTTGATGTTACCAATATAGACATCTCCATTTATAAATTCCTTCTCAGAGATCCTGCAGATAAAGATAAACAACAAATCAACAATGCATTAGCCATGAAGTATAGATCATTTTGACTTTTTCTTATCAGAATAATTACTCAATCCGCTGAAATCATTAATAGCATGAGAGTGAACCTTGAGACAGTTTCCATGACAAATGTTAATTGCTATATAAATAACCTGCAGAACATTCAAGAGAAAACATCTCAAGCAATGCGCTTCATGTGAATCAAATAAACTAAAAGCTCATGTAAAAGGTAGGTCAAAACTTAATTGCTAAACCAAAAACTAATTCCAAGTATCTCTAATTCTTCTTCTATAATTTCCCCTCAAAATGGTTCGTTCTGCATAGGTTGCTTTTACTATTAAAGTGCTAATAGAAATTCACTAGATTTGCTTTGGTACTGGCAAAGATATCGAACTTCAGTTAGTTTTACATTGACTACACAATTCGCCAAATGACCTGTTGGGTGCAAATTGCAAATTCGATACAGCATCGGCCTATTCATGTGACCTCAAGCATAGTAAAAACAGAACTCTACGTTCCCCAAAAAAATCAATAACAATCTATTATTATAAAACTTGGTTTATTCCAATCCTTATCCGACTACAGTCTACAGGCGAAGAAATGTGCTCTAACGATTATTTCAAGCTACGCATAGACATTCAAAAGCGATTCAGCTGATAAAGCTTACTTTCGAACTTCACCTCTCGCAATCTAACACCAAAAACTGCTCCGAACCAAACGTATTTTCACCTCAACTAGCCATTAAAATGCACCGAATACAGCAAAAAACACTAAAAAACCTATAAACGTATCATAAAAGAGCTCACCTGGAAGCACCAATTCATCCGAAACAAATCGATCGCCAAAAAGGAAAAAATAAAAAATAAAAAAATCACAAAAAGGAAACGAAACAGTACTGAAATCAAACTTGAATTCACGAATATAATCTCCACAATAACATGAAATTCATTCGATCATAGCGCGCCGTTAATCAATCTCTTTGAACTGAAGAACTCACCCTATTCCCAGATTTTTAACTTTTAGAGACGATGACGAAGAACTGAATATAGGAAACAGCTCAGATGTACACGTGGCGTAGAGGATAGTGGGACCCACCTAAATTCAGTTGCTCTTTCTATAGGCTCCGTGGAGTAAGTTTTCTCGAGCTATATTAACCGTTGATGTACTGAAACTATCACATCCAGTTACTTGATGAATTTCAGGACTCCAACGCCTGTACCCTTCTAGAAATTTTACCTCTTTATACCTAGCGGTGCACCGAACTTACGGTGCGCTGAGTTGTAGAGGATTCGGTCCGCTGTAAGGAATCTATCGTGTGGCAAAGCAATACTGCCAGCATTATTTTAAATAAAATAGATACAAATTTTTGGAAAGTTCTGATTATTAGTGGTTTGATTTATTTATTAATTTATTATTTTTAATTATTTAATCTTCTGATGTATGCAAATATATATAGATTTGAATTATTTTTTTTACTATTTAACTAAAAATTCAAATTGAATATCAAATGAAAAATTCAAATTGAATATCAAATGAAAATCAAACAAACTTTTGTTTATTTATTTTTTAATTTATTGTATTTAATATTAAAATTATTTTTATAAATATTATTAAATTTATATTATACAATATGTACATATACTATTAATATTCAAAATTTAACATATAAAAAAGTAAATAAATATTTACTCAATAAACATAAGAAGTATATATATATATTTATAAAATATTATATCAATATTATTTAAATAAAAAAATTTAAATTTTAAATTTATTAAAATATTAAAAAACACATTCCAAAATGGAGTACAAATTTTTTTTTTTATTAATATTACCGTTATTTTACTTTTGAAAATATTTAGAGCGTGTTCTTTTGAGGATTGGATTGTAGGTTTAGAATTTCAACAATAAAAATTTAAATTGAAATAATTATACGATAATATAAATAAGTGTTGAAACGATATTTTGAATAATATAAAAAATATAAAATAAAATTTTAATTTAATATTTTTTTAAAAAAATTAATGAATAATTGTCCCACATACCATGTCCTCTGTCCGTTCCACGTACCATGTCATTTTCCTTTTTTAGAAAATAGTTATACACTTTAATCTTATTTTAAACTTTTTAATTTTATTTTTTTAAAATTTTAATTAAACTAATTAGTTATTTTAATCTTAATTTATAATTATTTATATTATATAATAATTATTTTCACTAATACATTTTTAATTATCTACTAATTATATCTCTGAAAAAAATATTATGTCTACAGTGTAGCAGACATGTTCCACGAAGTTAGTATATTTTATGAGTCAAAACCCACGATAAGACACCCTTAAAAGCTGCATGGAATTGAGTGTGGATCATGCAAGGAAATTCCCTCTGCTTAAAGATTAATTTAAAATAATCCCTTCCTTCCTTTTCTTTTTCTTTTTTTTAGTTTTTTAATTATTGGAATTAATTCCTTCCATAATTTATACTGCATTAAAATAATTAAAGAATCTTTAATATTAAATGGTAAACTACGGTTCAAGCTAAATCTTTTTGTGTATATTTCTTCCTCCGTCTCACATTGGACGTCTTGGTTACTGTAGATACAAAAATTTAGAATAAGTATAATTAGTAGATAATTAAAAATATATTAGTAAAAATAATTAACATATAATATAAATATATCATAGATTAAAATTAAAATAACTAATTAAGTAAAATTTAAAAAATAAAATTAGAAAATTTAAAATACAATTAAGATGAGTAATCATTTTTCAAAAAAAAAAAAAAGAGTGACATGAGATGTGAGACGGACAGAAACGACAATATGGACATGGTAAGTGAGACGGGGGACGGGGGGAGTATTATATAGTACTATCATAACAATTGATATTTTTTTATATTGGGTAAAACTTACGCAATTAAAACATACTTACAAATATAAATCAATTTAATTAACCACATAATATACCATATCATATCATACATTATATCAGTCATTTAAAATCTCTTTATTTCTATCTCTCTTCTCAAAAATCATAAAAGTATTATATGAAATTATGTTTGTATTTTTTTTAAATTTTTTTTGTTGATATTTGTGTTTCTATTAAATTTTATTGTTATATATATATATTGTATTTTTGTATGAACAAACTATTAGTTTATGTATATAGTGTATAGATTTATATATAGGAATTTGAATGCATGAAGTAAAATGCAATTTATAAATTTGATGTTCATTTTATTCAATATAGCATAAATAAGTGCATAATACTTTGATTTAATCTTGGAATGAGATACACAAAATTAAGGTTAAGAGACGAGAATTATTAAGAAAGAAGCAAAAATCAATTATTGAATGACAATTCATAGATCGATCACCCTCCCAAACAATATCAAAGTAACCGGAAAGAATTACGAATAAACTATTTGGGAAAATATAAGTCATGCAATATCGTTCCCTTACCATAACGAAGAATATGCAGAACAATATAATAGTGAGTTGGACAAGATATAGCCAATTAGCTATAAATTGGCTAACTAGAATGCTAAATAGACAACGTAAATTATATCGAAACGAGTTACAATTAAATAAATCAAACTCTCAATAAGTTAATAATATAAAGAATGATCTTCAAGACGAGTCTCATTCAATGGTGTAAGATAGCGTGCAACATTTAGATATATCAAAGTTGTTTTATCCTGTAAGAGATGGTCTGATGGTGGTGTAGGGGTGGACTCATGATCGTAAAAAGTTATGAGTTCAAATATTCGACGCCTTCAGGTCTTATCTGTCACACATAGTTCACCTAGTGTGATTTATTTTGTCGGACTTAGTTTACAGACTCTTTGGTTTGACCGAGAGTTTACCCAAAATGCACTCGACGAGTAGCTGTTGTGAATTTTCACTTTATAAAAAAAAATTAAAAAAAATAATCCTACTACCAATGAATAACAAAGCATAATGTTCCGGATTAGACGTGTGTTACAAACTATATAGGGTATGCTTTAACTTATTAACCTTAAAAGATAGCGCATATCCTAGAAGTAAAATTATATAAACATCCTCAAATAGATCATTCGTAAATGGTCCATTTATAATGGGACACTGAGAATGTTTTTATTTCTATATTTTTTTTAATAGTCTTTTGCGACTAACCGAGCATCGTAATACTTAAAAAATTCATTGAAGTGAGTTTTTATTTTGCACATCTATTTACAACCGATAAATTTTAACAGGAGGTGGAGCAATAATCATTGTCGATACGAAGAGTTTATATATAATAAAAAAAAAAAAAAAATTGAATGCAAACCATTTTGAAATATTGAATGTACAATGTATAATAATTGTTAATGATACCTCAAAAAGTATAATCATGTAAATTTTGTATAATCATCTACATGTAAGATAAAATAACAATATTGATCCATAGAAGGAACTTGTGTGATTGTCATATTTTCTTAAAATAATAGAGTAAATAATTTTTTCATATGACAAACTGACAACATAATAATTAAATAACTCAAAAAAAAAGAATATTTAAAAAAAAATTTACTAATCAGATACTTAATTTTATGAAAAAATATATAACCAAGTCAAAGATGTCACCAAGATCAGAAGGACTTGAGTTAATAGCAATGCCAAGACGATTCTGAATTTGTACACTAAAAAAGAATAAAGTAATAATAAGCTTATAGACTAATTGGCCAATTGATCTAAAATTTAGAGTTAATTGAGAAATAAAATAAATACTCCCTCGTCTCATATCTATATATTCATTTGCTCTTTGCACAAAATTTTAGAAATATTAATATTACATTGAGATAAAGTAGAAATAAAGATAAAAAAATTAAATTAATCTCATTAGTGTTGTATGATACAAATGTAATGACGTTTATGTAATAAATTGTAAATTGAAAAAGTATTTATAATGTTAGGTAGATAGTACAATTAATAAAAAATGAAATTGATACTTTGTTATGGGACGGACCAAAATGAAAAAATAGATAGATTGTTAAGGGACGGGAGAGTATTAAATAAAAAGATTAATGTTAAAAATATGGATCCAAAATGAGTGATATACATGTAGATATTTCATTTGAAATATATACTCTCTCCGTCCCAATACAATAAGTTTTGTTTATCATTTTTGTCCGTCTAAAACAATAATCTTATTTTCATAAATAACCATATCACCGTAAAACTACCCCAACTTTTTTTTATTTTTATTACACAATTTTCGCTACTTTTTACACTAATATACTCACAAAGGCAAAAAAAAAAATTATCTATAAACTACCCCGATGCTTATGTGGCACTTGCGTGACATGCCCGCGGGCACATGTCGGCCAGGTTAGCGCTACGTGGTTGACACGTATCCGCTATGTTGATAATTTTTATTTTTATTTTATTTTAAAATATAAAATATAAAATTAAATTTTAAAAATTAAAAAAAAATTATTTACGTGCCCGTCATGTCTGTGGCACCGAGCCGATATGTGGATAATTGTTATTTTTATATTAAAAAATAAAAATAAAATATAAAATTTACTAATATATAAATTATTAAAGGTCATGTGGCGCTCACTTGACGGACATATGAATAATTTTTATTTTTTATTTGATTTATTTTTAATTTTTAATATTACATATTATTTTTTATATTTTTATATTTTATTTTTTACATATGTAACTTTTTTATATTTTAAAAAAATAAAATTAAAAAAAATAAAAATTATCCATGGCAGACATGTGTCCGTCATGTGATCTGGCTGGCATGTGTCCGCCAGCGTGCCACGCAAGTGCCACATAGACATAAAAAAACTAAATGTGTAAAAAAATTTTATTTACGGGATTATTTTAAAACAACTTCCAATTACGAAACTAAAATGATAAAGATGTCACTTATTAGACTAAAAATTCAATTTAATGTTTCTTTTGACGGGTTTCAAAAAATTTTGGTTTAGATTTTGATATTAAAATAATATATAATGGAATATTTTGTGAGTATTTTTTTTCGAAAAAAACAGAGTCCAAACGGTAGAAACCTCAATTTTGTGTCAAAAGAAGAAAAAAGAGAAGACATGTGAGGGAAGGGTAATGCCGCTAAAGGTGATAATAAAAATATTGAAATTTATTATCATTGATGCTGTTACTTTTTTGATATATTTTTTTTTATTGATAATATTGAGTTGTTTTTGTTATTCTTCTTTATTGATAATATTTTATATAAATATATATATATATTATAATTTTTAGATTTTTTTTTGTTTTTATATAAAAAAAATTATGATAATTTGTTTTTTATTGATAATATTGAGTTATTTTATTATTCTTCTTTATTGATAATATTTTTTTATATAGCCATAAAATTGGAATCTCAAATATTTTTTATTGATAATATTTTTTATTGATAATATTGAGTTGTTTTGTTATTCTTCTTTATTGATAATATTTTTATATATATATATTTATAATTTTTAGATTTTTTTGGTTTTTTCTAAATTATTTATTTTGTTGTGTTTTTTCTGTGCAAAGTTGGATTCCAAAATACTGTCTTAACATCTACCTTTTAAATATTTGTTGGAGGGTTCGGTCGCTCTTATTTCTATTGTTGACTTATTTATATTGCCTAATATTTTCTTTCAAGATGTTATATTTGTTGCGGTTGGAGAAGATTTCAACTTAATAATTTTTAAATTTTTTTTTTTTCTAAATTGTTTGTTTTGTTGCTTTTTTTTTTTTTTTTCAGCCAGATCTGAAAAACTTGTCTTCTAAATAATTATTTTATTAAACATTATTCTCAATTGATTATAATTTATATTAAGCTATATGTTATTTTACTTTTTATTCTTTTAGTAGTTTTCAAAGTTAGCGGAGGAAAACTAATTTATTTACAGGATCATCACGGTAAATAAAAAAAATAAAAAAAAAAGAGCAGATAAAAAGTTGGGATCCGAAGAGACTGTTTAAACATTAAAGCTGTTTGCCGAATGATTTGTTGCTACTTTTTTTCGTTCGAGTGATAAATTGGAACTTTTGTTTATTTGGTTATTCTTCTAAATTTTGTGTAGATTTTTAATTTATTTCCAATCTTTTTTTTTAATGATGTTGTACTTACTGCAGTTCTATTTGGATGCTTAAAATGCTAAAAATTATTCGACAAAAATAATCCATTATCATCATCGTCAAAATTGTCAAATTGAAAGGAGAATAAGAAAAAACAGGAAAAAAAATAATAATAATAAAAAAGAAAGAAAGAAAAGAAAAAAAAAAAATACAAAGATTCAATTGATTATAATTGTAAATTAAGTTGGTATTTTTATTTTTATTATTTTTCTTTTTTTTTTTATGTTAAGCTCCAGTGACATTGTTAAAATTTTATATTATTGGGAGATTGATTTTACCATTAACTTGTAAAAGAAAAAATTGATATTATGTATATGAATAATTATATATATTTTTTTCATATTACAATAGATTATCTAATTTTTTTTGCAAATTATAAATTGATAATTTAAATATTTCTTTCATTGTATTAAAATATAAAATTTTATTTTCTACCAAATTTAATTCATATTATATATTTTATTGAAAAAATAGTATTTAAACTATTTAAATATATTTTTTATTTTTTTAATTATATAGTATATTAATTTTTATTGTAGAAGCACTAATATCATCACAAGAAAAAAAATGCAGTTCTCGCGTTATAATAAAAAAAATATAATATTTTTTTAGTAATTATCAATGATATAATATTTATATTTTATATTCATTTATAATCATGGTATTATATATAATTATATTTTAGTAAGTATAATTTTTATTTTTACACAACTTAATTTATATTACATATTTTATTCAAAATATATAAAGCAGATCATAATTTTTATTATTAGATATTCATTTGAATTATTTAAATTTATTTTTAATAATATTATTTTTCTTAAAAAAATTATTTCATTGTTATTTATTTTATTATTACTATTTTATTATAAAATATTATGATTCTTAAACTTATTATAATATTTGAAAATAAATATAAAATTAATAAAAAAAAATTTATAATAATTTATTTTGAAATAAATAATATAGAGTAATTTTAATTCATTAAATTTAGTATATAAACTAAAAAAGCAGATGAAAGTGGAATGGTTGGTTGGAAGAGAAAAATGTGACAGAATTTATTGATTGCGAAAATGCCTTTTGAGTTTAATAAGTAGGGAAAGCAAAATTGGGTCCAATTTGTTTGGATGGATGTTGTGGTTCGGAAAAATACCAACTTTTAAAAATTAAATTAAATTAATTTTTGATATGCTATTTTAACCTCAGAAAATAAATAAATGAATTATACAATATTTATCTAACAAATATATTATGAATTTATTTATTTGAGGTATGTTTTAAGTTAATGTTTAAATGGTTATTATTTTGATATGATGTTTGATAAAATGAAATATTGTACTTACATTTCAGTTCTGATATTTCATTTACTTTTTGTCTATTGATCTTTAAATATTAATTATTATATGAAAATATAATACAAATTAATACTATTATAATGAGATTTGTGCAAATAAAAATTATACAAATATAAAGATGTTTTTAATGTTAGTACAATGACGCAAAAAGTAAATAAGATAATTATATACTATTAAAGAAGTGAAATCATAATTTATGTAAATAGAACTTATATTTAAATATATATATATTATAATTGATTTTTTAAAAATTTAAAATATTCATTATAGATTCAAAGGCTGTGTTGTATGTTTGTGTTATATTAAAAATTAATATTCATTGGTGAATTTAGAAAATTAATTAATTATTTTGTAGATTTTGTGGCATTTTAAAAAGCACATGTATTGTAATATGCCAAATTATATTAATATACTGAAAAAAGACAGCCTCAATTTATCAAAAACAATTTTGTATGATCGTTCAACCTGTTACATTTGTCACTTGTATTGAAAACGACATTATTTGGAAGAAATAGAGAAAGAGTTATTTTGAAATTTTATTTTAAATTTTATTATAGTAACTCATGATTTTCTATAAAAAGTATACTGTATAATTTTTATTTTTTTTATGTACAGAATATCGCTTTCAAATTATTACTTTCCCCGTCTATTTTCTAATGTCCTATTTGATATTTACACGCAATTTTAGGCAATTAGGATTTTTGTTATAAAACGACAAATTTGTCCTTAATTTTGTGTATATAAAATGAAAGAGTAACTAAAGTAAGGGTAAAAGTGTAAATTTTGTGTATAAAAATAGAAAGAGGATAATAATTGTTGGACATTCCAAATGGGAAAGTAAGATGTTAGTTTGTGAACGGAGGGAGTATTATTATTATTTTTATTTTTTTTTATGACGTAGGAACCTGCAGTCGCTGCCCGAAAGTGACTTTCAAATTACTATTGTACAAACCAAACTTAACAATAAATAAACAATTTGCATTAAATTCCAAAACAACACATCGTTGATTTTCAAAGTTCCAATGATTATTCTTGTGATGTATAACATCTACATGATTTCACAATTTGAAAACAATCAATTAGTTCTTTTTATTTATTTGTATTTTTTTTTTAAAAAAAAAAAAATCAATTTCTAACAATGATTTTTTCGTATTGTGTTTTTTACTTTGTGGTATTTTATGTTAGATATAAGTTAGGTATCGGTAATATAAAAAAAAAATAAATAAATAAATTGTAGAATTATTAATTTTAGATTAATAAAATATATACTATTTTTTTCCGTCTCAACTCAAAGTATTATTTTTATCATTTTTGTATATTCCACTCTAAAATATCATTTCCTATTTTAATAAAAGTAATTATACACTAATATCAAAATACCTAAATTACAAATATATCACTACACATACAATACCTTTTAACTTTTTTTACCTAAATTATAAATATATCATTACACCTACAATTAATTATACATAAAGTCAAAAAGATAAAAATATTAAGACTTCTTGCACACCTTTCATGACTAATAAAATATTATTTTTTAATCTAATATAAAATTCAAAAAGCTCATTTAAGGTGGAGCTAAGAAAATACATTATATATTTTATGTGAATATATATTGTATTTTTTTTAAATATTAACCTAAAAGAGTGGAAAAAAATTTTGATAGAACACATTCCAAAATTTGTAAAATCATCAATATCCTCAAGTTACATAAAAATAAATCGAATACTTTACAATTTTAATTTGATTTTATTGTAAAACTAATGAATAGATATTTAATAAAAATATAAATTATTCTAACTACTAATAAATATCAGGTGTATTCATCTAATAATTTTTTAGTTAATAATTTAATATAAAATATTACTTTTTTTCTACGTTTATAAACTAATATCCTATTTTTGTATTTGAAACATTAAATAACTATTGTCTTTTTTTTTCTTTTTTTTTTATAAGAGTACAATAATTTTACTTTTTCACCTTTCATTCATTTATCATTTTTATTTGAGCATATTTTCTTTACTTTACCTCAAAGAGTAAACTTGTCAATTTATAACAAATTTAACTTGACAATGCATACCAATTTCTAGTAAATGAAATGTAATGTTAGAAACAATTCCTCTATAATTCAATTTCAGTCCATCATATTTACCCTTGTCATCTCTCTATCTCTCTCTATATATATATATATATTACGACTAAATTGCACAAAATTCACATGTAATTTTACAAAATTGTATCAAATTTCATAGTTCCATAAACTCTGCATCTAACCTCTCCGCAAATTTTTAAACCCCTAAAATTATAAATATATTTATTTTTTTTGCAAAATTTATAAATATAGAAGATTTGGCGCAACTTCGTAAAACCACAGGTAAATTTTGTGCAATTTAGAGGTATTTAATTGAATCTCAAATCCCCAAAACTCATGTTATATTAGCAGGGATCAGATTGGATGTGTCATGAATGAGCCAAAGCTGGGGAGTCTGTCAAAACCACAAAAATGCTGCCACAAATTCAACAAACCACCATCTTCTTCTATGCATTCACAGCTACATACAAATATCTATATATCTTTATCTATATATGTGTATCTAATACTACTATATAATCCCAACCAGCAAAAAACAAAAAAAACTAAACTTATGTCTGGTGCAAAAAAATAAGAAGAAGAAGAAATACTTACTGGATAATAACATCAATTTGGACCGTGTGAACTTCAGGTGCACATACCCATGGAGGACCATCCGATCGATCCAAAGAATTGGTTTGCTACTATTATTCGAGTCCGGGCATTGCAAACTGTGCTGCGAAGCTTTCCACGCGTGCTCTGAGGTCGACAATGTCTTTGTTGTTTTCAAGCCCCTTGAGGCACGTAGGCAGCTTCCTGTGCTCTCTCTGGATCGAGCTTGCAATCTGCGCCGCTCTGAGGAGGAATTCGGCAATGATCTCAAAGTCCAATTCAAGACACCCTCTTGAAGTCATCGCAGGTGTCCCTGCAAGAACCAAAAAAATAAGCAATCGTGTATGCGCATTATTAAAGGACAATAGTGAATTGGGATTGGTTGTGGCAAGGCGTACCGATTCTTACACCTCCTGGGTTGATATTGCATTTGTCGTCGAAGATTGTAACTTTGTTGAGAGTAATGTGGCATAATTCACAGACTTTCTCAAAATTCTTACCTGCACAGTTATGACAATCGAAATTTAGTTTGGGAACAACTAAACAAAAAGCATAGGTTGAACTGAATAATTAGTCATTACATCTGAGGGAAACAGATGATGTCAATTTTCTCAAGAATGTTGTCCTTGTTATCAACATTTCGTTGTTGTGCAACAGATTTAAAGATTTTAGGGATAAAACCAAATCAAGTCGGCTTAAAGATCTACTCAGTTATAACTCTATACTCCAAAAAATCAAGTCACACAAATAACAATGTGTAGCAAATTAAAGAGCTACAACGCAAGTTTGAAAGATACATATATATATATATATATGCGTGTGTTGTGTATATATTTACCTGTCACGCCGAAGTTTCTGAGATCCCACAGCAGCATATGATTATCGGTCCCTCCAGTGATGAGTCTACAGTGCCTTCTCAACAATGCAGATGCCAAAGCCTGAGCATTTTTCTTCACTTGTTGCATGTAAGTTTTATACTCGGGAGTAGCCACTTGTTTCAAAGCAACTGCAAGCGCTGCAATGTGATTGTTGTGCGGTCCGCCTTGCAGGGATGGGAAAACAGCAAAATTGATCTTTTCTTCAAAATCATACCGATCACTGCCTTGATTCATCCCTTGCTTCCTAGGCTTCGGACCCTTCCTATAGAATATTATTCCTCCCCTCGGTCCTCTAAGGCTTTTATGGGTCGTAGATGTGACAATATCACAATAATCGAAAGGACTAGCGCACTCCTGCAGATAGACAATCCAAATAAGATTAAAGAAGCCCAAACGCTCAATTCATGTAAGAATTGGGAGAAATTGAAGGATTGTTTTAAGGATTTGGAAGAATTTAAACTATTCACACAAATCTCCCCAAACATCAAATCAAACAATATACTAAAAATCAATTTTACATTCAAAACATCAAATCAATACTTATTTATATCACATCATTCCACTTTCCAATTCAAATTTTTTCTATTCAAATCTCAACCCAAAATCCAAACTTCCAAACAAACACACCCATAATTGAGACATAAACAGTGTAGCAGCTCATCGACAGTGTTTGCCAGTAACAAAATATACATGCCATTTTCAGATTAATTATAGACATCGACAATCCAATTAATCAAAAACTATATGCATCAGTTCCGATCCAACAAAAAAAAACTATATGCATCAGTAATCTTCATGATAAGAAATAAGTCCAGGCACAACAATTTTAAGTGTTCTAAGTTCTAACCACCAGGCAGTAGACATCTCAGATATAAAACTTGCAGAGCGTCAAATCGAAAGCGCAAGGAAGACCATTAAGTTCAAAAAGTGTAAAAACTTTACCTTAGCAGCAATAAGACCACTAATTTGAGCCATGTCACACAACAAAACAGCACCACAATCATCTGCTATGCGTCTCAACCGTGCGTAATCCCATTCCCTAGGATACGAGCTCCCGCCACATATCAATATCTTGGGGTGAAAATCAAGGGCCTTCTCCTTGAGCTTATCGTAGTCTACATATCCTGTCTGTGGATCTATCTTATAGGGCAGAGTTTCGAAGAAGATCGACGCCCCCGACACTTTCCTACCATTCGGCAAATAGCATCCATGGCTGGTGTTCCCGCCGGAGGGAGTGTCCAGCCCCATTATCCTATCACCAGGTAACAGAAGACCAGTATACACTGCGAAATTAGCAGAAGTGCATGAGTAGGGCTGCACATTAACACCCCAACTTTCTGGATCGAGGCCGAAAGCTTCCAGTGCTCGCTGGCAACACAGGGTCTCAATCTCGTCTATGTACTGGTTTCCACCGTAGTATCGAGCACCAGGCATTCCTTCGGAGTATTTGTTGGTCAAGTGGCTCCCCAAGGCTTCCATTACAGCTTTGCAAACGAAATTCTCAGAGGCTATTAGTTCGATGCCTTTATACTGCCTGGCTTTCTCCTTCTCCATTATCTCGAATAAATCAGGGTCAGCAACTCTCAAGCTCTTGTTCCCCCACGCCCTGACTGCATTCCTACGCGATTCCATTTGATTGCACGAGACTGCGGCGAGTTCCTTCGAAGATGAAGACGATGACGAGGAGCCGGAATCGGAGTCGCGCTTCCTCTTCAAAGTCATATCGTGACCTAGAATCTGAAACTTCTCTTCTTGCTCCTCCACCTCTTCCACACCGTCCTTGCTTTCATTCAAATCGGTAGCGGAATCGTGGCTGGGATGACGGTAGCGATTTTCCGTCTGCTGGTCCATCAATTGAAGAGGAATTAGGGGCGAAGGATACGAAGCGTCCCCAGTCCGCGACTCCACCTGAAAGCAGATCGAATCGTCGGCGATTTTTTGAATCCGATTCCTCTTAAGGTGCGGCGGCGTTGCGTGAAATGTAAACCCTAACGAGAGACCGTTGTCCACCGGCGGCTGCGTCAAATCCATTACCCAAAAACAAATATCCCAATCACCAAAACAAAACCAACCCAACCACGGCTGAGAAATCCAGAAATCAGGCCACAAAAATCAACAGAGACCACAACAACACGCAAAGCAGAAGCGGAAACAATAACACAGTGAATTTACGGCAGAAGGGGCACTTGATACAGCAGATTTCAGCGGTATTCCCATGAAAACGGCAAAGAATTGCAATAGCTCAAAGGAAAACCCAAAATTGGGTGTTCTGAGAAATTACTGAAACGTTAACGTAGAGCAGCAAAGAACAGGAACAGTGAATGGTGAATGAAGCTGAGCGTAGGAGAAGAGGGGTAAGTTACATACACGATGCATACATTGATGCGTGTTTAGTGTGAGAGAGAGAGGGGGAGAGAGAAATGGGGAAGATTCGGTCGGGGGAATGAACCTGGACTCATTTTTAAAAGGAAATAAAATCCTCCTATTACTACTACTACTGCTCCTCTTCCTCGGCTGTTTGTTTGTTGCTTTACAGTTGGTGGCGTGGGCCCCACGCCAAACTGGCCCACATTCATCTGCACCAACCGTTCACCATTCATTTGTTTCTAGGCCTTTGAATGGTATGCTATGGATTATGGAATACGATTTTCCTGAATGTGGTTTAAAATTTAATTTAAAATAAGTTATTAATTTCAATTTTTATTTAAATAATATTATTTTTATTCGATTTTAAAGATTTAATTTATTTTTAGTTTTTTTTATTGTTCTTTAAATATTAATTATTATATCAAAATATAGTATAAATTAAGAAAAAAAATTGCAAAAATACTTACATTGGTGTCTTATACGATATTTGTACAAAAATTTATACAAATATAAAAGATATTTTTAATGTTAAGTATAATGACGTAAAAGGTAAATGCGACTCGGAGGCGGACGATGGGAGTATTATAATATAATATACTACCTTTGTCCGGTTTTAATGATCTCATTTACTTTTTTAAGTGTTGATTTTTTAATATTAATTATTATATAAAAACGTAATACAAATTAAGAAAAAAAAAAGCAAAAATACTTCTATTAGTGTGTTATAATACTATTATAATGATGTTTTTTGCAAAAAATTATACAAATATACAGATATTTTTAATGTTAAGTGCAATGACACAAAAGGGAAATGAAACCTTAGAGCCTGACGGAGGTAGTATTATAAAAAAATATATTTTTGTTAAAATTTTATTAGGCTATTTTGAAATAAATAAAAACAAATCTTTGTATGGTTATTTCTTTTTAAATTTTGTATTTTTGAATAAATATATTCTCTGTCCCATATAAAAAAGTAATGTTTGTTTTTTACACGTAAATTTTTTAATATTAGTATTGTATTGGATTGTAGTAAAAATGATAAAAATACCTTTATTAGTATTATGTAATATAAAGGTGGTGACATTTGTGTAATAAGTATATTATAATTTATAATGATATTTATTATGTTAGGCAGACAGTACAATTACTAAATTAGAAAATGGTACCCTTATTTTGGGACGGACGAAAATGAAAAATAGAACTCTTCTTATGGGACGGAGGAAATATTTTTTATATTAGGTATTGAGAATTATATTAATACTTTTACTCATTTAATACTATTAATTTTTTAAAAAATATCATATCAAATACACTTTTTAGATTGCGTCTTGACGCGGCGACCTTTTCATATGAGCCAAGCCTAGCCTTATTACGCATATTTATACATATCTCAACATATTTATAATACAACCACTACAAGAAAAAATCATATTTGTAACAAAACTTTTTTGTCTCTAAATCTATTTTTTCCGTTACTAATAACATTAGAGACGGAATTAGGAATGGAATTACGTTAGCTACGTGAACTTTAGGGACGGAATTCCGTTACAAATAGATTATTTTTTTTGTAGTGAACATATATTATATTATAACTCAATATATATGATATCTTATAATACAATATATATTAATATATATATATATATAAACATACGTTGGTCACCTCTAAATCAGCGTCATGTTAACTTGGTCGGATCAACAGAGAATTTGCAGTCTATGTATATACTACATTAAGAATCGTATCAACAAATATTACTCAAATAAACACACTAGGGGTGTGTTTGTTTGGGGGTTTGGATTTTAAGTTGAGATTTGAATAGTAAAAATTTTGAATGTGAATAGGTGTTGATGTGATGTTTTGAATGTAAAATTAATTTTTAGTATAATATAAAAAATAAAAAAATATGTGTTTAATTTAATGTCTTTTGAAAAAAAAATGAAATGAATAGCAAACGCACCCTAACTTTATTACTATATTCAAACTCAAACTCAAATATTGGAAGAACACACCCAAAATATCTATTTTCGACCCCAAATCAATTCAATTTATGTCTCGATCTCGACTGATTATCATTAGACTGTTTGAAAATTTTAAAATATCAATCGAATATCATCATAGATTATTTGAAAATTTTAAACAAATAAGGGCGAACAAAATTAATTTCTCTCCCTCGCTGACGACGGTCCTAAAATATGCTTGTCGAAATGATGACAAATCGAAATCCAGCCAATATCCTTTCTATTTCCTTTTTACTGTATAAAATATTATAGGTATGTTTGTCTATGTATACATATTTTTTTATATAACATATGAAGAATTGCGTAAGTAATATAAAAGAAAAAAAAAATTTGTATAATATATTAATATTTTTGAAAAAATATATTATAATATTTATAGAAAGAACAAAAGCTACATTCAACATTTATTTAATTATTTTAATACTAATATCATATTTTAAAAATAATAATTTAAAATACACACACGCAAAGCCCATTATAATTTATATACCAAATCAGCAATACCCAACACGTTGTTGAATGCGTAAAATATTGAAAGCTAATCGGTTGCGGATGAATCTGGACAGCAAATGTGAATGGATTCATTCACAATGGAAATTTACACCACAGACGAAGTCAGGTCCTTTGGGTAAATATTCGTGATATTTTTTGGATATTAAATATTTATTAAAATTGGGCAGTTGGCAACAAAATAATTTTTATTTATTTTGTATGCGTATCTAAAGTCGTTTGAGGTTTCCTTAGGGTATGTTTGTTTGAGTTTTGATTTTGGTTTTAGATTTGAATAGTAAAAATTTTGAATTTAAATAGTTATATAATGTGATATAAATAAATATAATACCGTGTTTTGAATTTAAAATTAATTTTAATATAATATAAAAAATAAAAATAATGAATAATACAAATTTAAGTAAATTTTCTTAAAGGAACACACCCTAATGTACATGGCCCATAAATTGGGGCAGATTCATGTCTAGTGTCTTAATTGAAAGTGTGTTTCTTAGATGTTTGTTTGTTTGATGTTATAAATTTAAGTATTTTTGTTGTAAGATAGAAAAATTAAAACAGTGTTATAGAATGATATTTTATGGAGTGAATTTTTGTTGGTTTTATTGTTATATATCTTTTAAATAATATTTTTTTGAAATAATATGTATTATAAGAGCACTAAGTGGGCGTCGTTGTTTAGGAGTTTGGATTTTGAGTTGAGATTTGAATAGTAAAAATTTTGAATGTAAATAGTTGTATGATATGATATAAATAGGTGTTGATGTGATGTTTTGAATGTAAAATTGATTTTTAGTATAATATAAAAATAAAAAATAACTATTTGATTTGATATTTTTTTGAGAAAAAAATAGGATGAATAGTATATTTAAAATCCAATCCCCCAAACAAACACACCCTTATATTAAATATCCATATTTTTTTATTTTAGTCTCACATCATTTGATTTTTTTTTATATGATTATACATTTGATATATTTGTCATTTAAGTAAATATTAAAGATATTTTTTTTATATTAATATATGATTATTTTTATTAAAATATAAAATAAATAATTTTGAATGAGATAAATGAAAATAAAAAAAATAATATTTTGAATTTAAGGGAGATAATATAAAATGAAGATATACTATTCAAACTTAAATCACTTAAATGATAATGCTCCCCCTGTACAAGTATTTTTGTCCACGTTATATACAAAAATTTAATTAAAGTATAATTAATAAATTATCAACGAATGTATTAGTAAAAATAATGATGTGATTAATTTAATTAAATAATTAAATTAAATTAAAATATATATAACTTATGAAATTTAATAACATGCACAATTAATTTATATATGAAGTAAAATGACAAAATGTCTAAATTTATTAAGCACTTTCATCTATCAATAAAATACTATTATTTTTTAATTTATAATAAAACAAAGAGAATATTTTATTTAAAAATAATACTCCCTCCGTCCATTTTTATCTATCCATTTATTTTTTGTACTAAGTTTTAGAAATATTAATATTATATTAGAATGTAGTAGAAATAAAAGTAAAAATACTAAACTAACTTTATTAGTATTGTATGATATAAATATAATGATATTTGTGTAATATATTATAAATTGAAATGATATTTGTAATGTTAAGCAAACAATGCAATTACTAAGAAAACAAATTGATAAATTATTAAGAAACAAACCAAAATAAAAAAAAAATTAATAGATTCTTAACTAACGGAGAGAGTAATATATTGAATATAAAAATAAGAATAGATACAAATAAATACATCATTAGTAAAATTATTTGTAAAAAAAATAAAAATAAAAATAAATATTATAAAATTGATAAATAAAATAATTTATATTTAAATCAATATTTCATTTAACTTTATTTATTTTAATTTAATTTACAAACAATAATAATAATAATAATAATAAATGGGCTCCGGAGAACCTTCTACCCTTGCTCGTGCCCACATGTGGCCTAAGGCCGGGCGCAATTTTGACGTTGCGGTTCCATATAATGAGATTTTACTTTTCAATTTGTGCTATTTTTTACACCAAAAATAGTGTTTGCTACATTAAATAGTGTTGCATTGTAGTAATGTCATTTTTATGGCGTTGTGTACTTTTTTTTTTTAATTTGTAATTAATTAATTAATTTTTTTTAATTTTTTTTTTTTAAAAATATTAATTTTAGATATATCAAGTGGTTTAAAATAATATATAAAATGGAATCTTTGAAAAATATTATTTTTAGAGTAAAAAATAGAGTTGTGGATTAGAGTAAAATTACTCTAGCAATTGCATTTTTCGAATTATAATGGTATAAATGGAGTTACCCGTTTGGAGATACTCTAAGAGATTATTAGACAAATATGGTTGTATGGACTGGGGAGCAAAGTTGTGACCGTTGATTCATAGGTTCAAACTCCGACGCTTTCAGGTCCATCTGTCATATATGATTCACCTAATGTGACTTACCTTGTCAGACCTAGTTTGCAGGGTATTAGGTTTGACCGAAGGTTTACCAGAACGCACTCGTCGAATAGCGATT